GAAACCCGTTCGACGTAAACGTCGAGTCTTGTTTTTTTGCCTGAAGGGCGGTACATATTGTACTCGCAGGATTTGAAGTGAATGGTGAATGGGAGTGCGTTCCTGCTAAAACATGTCTTTCAATTGGGTGTCACAAAAGCAGTGTACCGCTCTGCACCGCATTACACCTAAACATCGAGCATCTTCACCGCACTGTATCTCGTCTTTTGAGACGTGAGGCTTTTCTGACGCGCTCCAGGAATGTACCGATACTGAGTGCAGCAGCCAGGAACAGCAAGCCAAATTACAACATTTTCCAGCGTGGACTATCGAGAAAGACAGCTCGGTGTAGTCGGTGACGATGACCGTCAAGGTCTGGGCTCAGCGTGGACGGTCGTGGACGGTCACCTCACGGCGTGAGATTCAGTCAAACCAGTCACATCTCACAAAGAAGCTGCTTTGTGCTGTGTGACAATAGCGAACGGATTGATTCCACACAGTGCGATGATGTGCTGGCATGCACTGTGCAATGCTGTAACTGTTTTCAGGTGTCATCAGGTGAGGCTCTGCTGGCACGGCTGACAGCAAATATTCACCAACCAATCCACAGCAGGGTTTGAGCCTCACCAAAACCCCGCTACAGTGTCGCGAAAGGCAAACGGGCCTACTTCTAGGCTTTCGTACCGCGTTTTCTCCACCTTCATCCGACGTGCGGAGGTTGATGGTTCGGAAACTACGCGCTTCGAGCCTGAAAGGCGACGTCTTGCAGATTTACCAGCGCGTCATGGACGTGCTTGAGCGACTGCATCGAGCCATTAATAATCAAGTTCACGCAATCTGAATCGTCCAACTATTGCGACAGTCGCAACGACTACGGTGAGCACTTGTCGCGAAAAGCATCGCCACCACCTGTACAATGTTGGCTCACGTGTCCTCTACGTCGAATCTCCCAAGGTCATGCCGTGTCGCATGCGGTTCCACTCAACTACCATCGTGGAATGGACGTTTCCGGCCCAGCGCAGGCTACCGATCTCCCCTGCGACTCCCACTCCTCATCTCCCCGGCCCCGCCACTTTTCCGCCCTGCGCACACCCCCGCCCCTTCACTTGCCCGCCAACCGACGTTTGAATTCCGTGTGTTTCTCAATCCTGCGCAGGCCTTTTCTCCCCCAAGTGCAGTACCGCGCATCCAACAAGCCAACGAGCCCACGAACAACCACGCAGAGCGAAGCCACAGCCACCGCCACTCTAAGTGCGTTTCCCCCTCTGTTCGGTCGTGGGCCTAGGGATCGCCGCCAGCTACTGGGGGGTCAAGCTGGGGAGTTCGAAATCCTCCCTTTCCATTCCACTTCCCCACTTCCCCCAAATTCTTCCCCGTCTTAGAGGCAAAAGCAGTCCCGCTTTCATGCATCCCCCATCCATCCCAGCACGAAATTATTGGAGCGGCGCGCACACATCTCCCGCCTTCGGTCGGTTGCCCGTCCCCCTTTTCTCGGGCCATCCGCTCCGCTCTCACCCCTCAGAACCGTGTCTGCTGCTAGACCGACCCATCGGCCTCAATTATTTGTGACAGCGTGACTGGCCATTCGTATCATCCTAGCCGTAGTTTTGATTGCATTGCTCGTCTATTGATCTTCTATTCCCTGTGTTCGGAGCTCCTTGCTGAGACGTTGAGTGTTTGCCAGTAGTATCGTCTCCAGGCTTTCACAATCGAACTTACGTCTTGGCGACAGGAGTGACCTCTCTTATCACGCGACACACCCACGAATGGTCTCCGTATTTTTGTCAATTAATCTTTAAGACCTGTACTACGTCTGTCAGTAGTGATTAATCATCCGCGGTTTCCTACGTCGAGCACCGAACACGCACTTGTAACTGTAATCCAAACCTAAACCGAAGCCTTTCACCAACCCTAGCACGTTTCCTTGTTCGTCCGCAATGGCGACACCTATGATGCAAGCCCGGCTACGAAAGGTGCAGTCGATCGCCAGCAACCAAGCCTGCGCGGACTGCGGGTGCAAGAACCCGCAGTGGGCCTCGGTGACATACGGCATTTTCTTCTGCCTCGAGTGCTCCGGCACGCACCGCAGCCTCGGTGTCCACCTCAGTTTCGTCCGCTCCGTCATTATGGACTCGTGGAGCGACTCCCAGCTGAAGCGGATGGAGGTTGGAGGAAATTCCGCGTGGAACGATTTCCTTGATCGGTACGCTGATGCGACGGAGACGGCGACGATAGCGAAGAAATACGCGTCGCCTGCTGCGCAGTACTACCGGGAAAAGCTGGACGTGCTTGTTGCTGGTCGAGCGTGGACCCCTCCTCCTGGTCTGACGCCCAAGCAAAAGGCAGTGGTGAGCATTTATCCTAAATTGGATTTCCTTTATTCCAATGACATACCAGCTCCCCTTACGCATTTTCCCTCATCCTTTGTCCTGCTCCTCATCCCTGTCTCGTGGGTCCCTCCACTGGACTTCAGCCGATCAGTATGCTAATAATGCTGCTCCTTTTCAATTGGTGTTTGCTGTTACAGGCGCGCTCTACCCTACCAGCTGCATCCCGAGCCTCGTCTGCCGCTTCGAGAACCAGCAGAAGATGCACCGCTCCTCCCGCTCGAGCCGTCGCCTCGCAAAGTTGGGATGACTGGGGCGAGGGCTGGGGTACTGTCGGCGCTAACTCTTGAAAATATCGCCTCGACCGAGCTGTGAATATTAACTATGCCCAACCAATCAATCTGGAAGAAGGTTATTAAGAATTTGACTCCTCGGCCTGCGGTGCTCCGAGATGACCCTTGCAGAGCAGTAATGCTCGCAAGCTGAGGCATGTTCGGTAGGCATGTTCAGAAGGAATTATTGTGCATTTGGAGTTTGTCCCGCATCTTTTGCTGTATCAAGTAATTATTCTTTCATCTTTCAAGAAGCATCCTGGTCAGTGAAAGCATCTATCAGGCCTGCGCTGTTGTCCAGCCGTCGCCCCAGTCGTCCCAGTGGTCTATTGCGGAAATACTTTTCTCCCGCAGCGAACTTTTGGAGCTGGGTGATGGAACCTGTAGAACAATGAGGTTCATGATGAGACTGTTGAATGAAGCGTTGTCCAGAGGCATATGATATAAGTCAACGTCTCATGAAAACACTTACACTCCGCTGGCGTAGAGGTGGTGGAGGTGAAACCCACTGGCGTCCAGCAGCTAGTGCATCCACCTTCTCCCGGTACAATGAAGCTGCTTGAGATTTATAAAGATTAGCTTGATCAGTTACTCTCTGTTCGCCCTGGTATTGATCCAGAAACCTTTTCCACGCTAGATTTCCACCATTCTGCCAAGACAAGATTCATTAAGTCCGAGCTTGCTCAAATACCGTATATCGGGGATACACAATCAGCGCATATGCTTACCTCCATTCGCGTCACTTGATCTGAACTCCAAGAGTCCATGTCAACCGACCTAACAAAACTGATGTGCACACCTAAACCACGATGAACTCCAGAGCACTCTAGGCAAAGAAAGATTCCGTAGGTAACGGAGCTCCATCGAGGATTTTTACACCCACAGTCGGCACACTCCTTGTTTGCTGGAAGAGTCTGAAGTCGTCTGAGTCTCGCTTTAAGGTTACTATCACCATGACCAGCCATTGTCAGAGATCCTGCAATGCGAAGGTTGATTCTGAGTCACGCAAGCTCTCAGTGACAGGTGAGATAGATGCTGTTGTCCCTCTTATGGGTCCCAAAAGTTCTAGCTTCTGTGCGGTTTAGAACGTTTCCTTATGGTATCTGCTGTTTCTCCGTGTTACAATTTCGGGTGGACATACCCTTCGAAATGGATTCGATTGTTGCCCTCTCCACCCAGAATTTCCCAAGTTCAACCTTTTGGTCCGTTCCGAACGTTCTCCCACGGAAACAAGCTCGCCCAAACCAATAACAAGCAGGCTCGGCAGTCTTTGACTTGGCAAACTGGGGCGCTGCCGAAGCAACCTAGGCTTCTCAATTACTGTACTCCACCAACCGCAGCTGGGCAAGCCCAGCAAGGACTATCAAATACGGGAGTAGGAGCCTCGGCAAACAAAATACAGGCTGGACACAAAAAAGAGCGGGCATACTTTCACTCTGACAATCAGGTGTGGAAGTCAAAATTCAGGTTGGACAAGAGGCCAATGGTATGGGGAGGGGACAGGAACTACCAAGAGAAGAGTCGGGGCAAGGAAGAACAAATCATAGAGCCACGTTTCAGAAAAGCGTGACGTCGACGCTTCACCACATTTACAGGCACAAGGAACTAGCAATCGTCGTCTGTGGGGTGAAACTGAAGGACTCCCGCACATGGGTGTGTGCTGAACGGAAAATCTGCTCTTCTATCGGCCCAAGTACGCACATCCCACATGAATGATAGTGGAGAACCCTCGAAAATAAAGCTGGATCAACCAGTTGAAAGTACTGCCGAGGAAATGGCAGGAGTGGATGACAGCGAAATGAAGGAAGGCGACGAAGCGTTTAAAGTTTCACCTTGGAGAGGCTCAGCTATCAAGGCTGAGGAGGAGGAGAAGATGGAGGATCAGGAGGAGGAGACGGAGGATGAGGAGCAGCAGGAGCAGGAGCAGGAGCAGGAGCAGGAGCAGGAGCAGGAGCAGGAGCAGGAGCAGGAGCAGGAGCAGGAGCAACAGCAGGAGCAGCAGCAGCAGCAGACGTTGAAGGCGGAACAAATTGATCAAGAGGGAGATGATAGTACACGAACGATGGATGCTGCTATCGATCACTCCGTTTTTCCCGTCCAATCCATCGTTCAGGCATCCGAACCGCTTGTTCAGCCGTCAGATTCGATAGTTAAGGCGGCATCACCTGTTCAGCCGTCAGATTCAGCCATTCAGCCGTCAAATTCGACCGTTCAGGCAGCAGAATTGGCCGTTCAGTCGTCTGATCCTACCATTCAGCTGTCAGGTTTGACTGCTCAGGCGTCAAAATTGACCGTACAGCCGTCAAATTCGGCCGCTGTAGCATCCGTACTCACCAGTGAAGCGTCACACGGTAGGAAAATCATGCCAGCTGTGCAGGCGGGTAGGGTGCGGCAGCAGCTGCAGGCAGTGGAGAGTTTTGAGACGTCTCGAAACGAAATTATGCCACCCGTGCAGGCGGGATGGGTGCAGCAGCAGCTACGGGCAGTGGAGAGGGAGTTGAACGCTCTAGGGGATGCGCTCATGGTGCTGAAAGGTGGGGAAAGCGGAGGAGCGGACACGGGTAAAGGCGTGAGCGGGAGAGGGATTGGGAGAGGGCGTGGGAGAGGGCTTGGGAGGGGTTCTGGAGCAGGAGGAGCGGCGAAGGGGAAGAGCGCGAAGGTTACCGGATTTGGAATTTCTGACAGCAGCAGTGGGCAGGCTGCAAGGGATGAGGATGAAATGAGGGAGAAGAAGGAAAAGAGCAAGGACACGAGCAAGGATGAAGGTGATGGTGCGGGTGAGGAGAAGAAGGGTGCTGATATTGCTACTATTGTGGAAGGGGATCGCGACCGTGTCGCACTCAAAATATCTGGCAGCCAGGCGGACGGCACAGCAAGGAGCCTAAACCTACAGGCGACCGGGACTGGCAAGATCTCACAGGCAGACAGTACCGCTAGGAACCTCCAGCTGGCGCTGACAGAGGAGCGCGTGAAGAGCCTCCTGAAACTGCGCAGGCAGCTGCAGGCTCAGCTGGGGGAGGCTCAGATGGGGGAGGCTCGACTGGGGGAGGCTGGGCCTGGGGGAAGGCTGGCTGGTGGCGGAGAGGGAGAGGGGAGAGGAGGTAGAGGAGGAAAGGGAGAAGGAAGGGGTCGGGTTTTGGATGGGGGACGGGAAGGTGGAAGGGTTGTGGGGAAAGGGAAGGGCAAGGGTAAGGCGCAGATTGGTGGAGAGTGGAGAAGTGGCGAGAGTGGAAGAGGGGAGGGGGAGGGTGCGAGGGTGGATGAGGGGAAGAGGAAAGGGAAGGGGAAGGGGAAGGTGGAGGCTACAATGCTGATGGATGACGTGGATGATTTTGATTCGGCGCTGGATGGTGCTGCTGCAACTGGATTCGTGGAAACGGTATGTCATATGGTATGCAAGTTGCTGTTATTTCAATATTAGCCGAAGTAAGGGCGATACAGACTATTCACCTAGTGCCATCCCTACCCCCCCCCCTGCTTCTTTTCCTTTTGACACCTACTTTCCTTATCGCGTGCATTGCCTCCCTCCCAACCCTTGCATCTCATCTCAATTCCGTGCTTCAGGAGCGGGATCGGCTCATTCGCCTGGGTCTTATCACGCCTTTTGCACAGCTCAAGGGCCTTGACAAGGCCGTTCAATTTCCTGCTTTTCCATCTCAACCCCCCCTCCCTCCATCCCCCTTTCCCCCCTGACATCCCGATCCCTTACTTCAGGAGCGGGATAGGCTCATTCGTTTGGGTCTCATCACTCCTTTCGCACAGCTCAAGGGCTTTGACAAGGCCGTTCAGTCAGGGCCCACCCAAAAGACACAGCTTGGGGAAGGAAGCAGCAGGGGTGGGGGAATGGAGGGCAGGGACGAGAGGGAGGGAGAGAGGGAAGGAGAGGAGAACGAACATTGGGGTATAGGGAGCAGAGGAGGAGGTAGGGGAGAGGGAGAAGGGGTGGGGTTAGGGCGAGGGGAGGGGGAGAGGCAGGGGAAGAGGCAGACTAAGCTTCTAGGGGCGGATGAGGTCCCTAAGGCCCCGGAGCCTTTGAAAGAGTTTGCGAAGATATTAGGAGGGAGGCAGAGGGGAGGGGGGGAAGGAGGTGGCGGGGAGAGGAGGAAGCGGAGGAGGGTTGTGAGGAGACCGCTTCCTGGTAAGGCGTGGAGAGAAGGGAAGGGGGATAGGATGGTGGAGGTGGGTGTGGATGGGGTGGAGGGTGGGGGAGGAGAAGGGAAGATGGAGAGCTGGGATGCTGATGTGGATGCTGATGTGGATGATTCTGATGTGGATGCTGATGATGCTGACATGGATGCTGATGATGCTGATGTGGATGCTGATGATGATGATGGTGATGTTGTAGATGATGATGTTGATACTGATGTTGATAGTGATAATGTGATTCTAGAGGGGGGGCTACGAATACCAGGTTCAGTGTATAATAAACTGTTTGAGTATCAAAGGACGGGGGTTAAGTGGTTGTGGGAGTTGCATTGTCAGGAGGTAGGGGGGATTCTAGGGGACGAAATGGGTCTGGGAAAGACTGTGCAGGTAGCTGCGTTCCTAGCCTCGCTGCTACGTTCGGGGCTGTACCGCCCAAGCCTGCTGGTCTGCCCCGTCACGCTGCTTCGGCAGTGGCAGAGGGAGGTTCGGATCTGGTGTCCGGAACTGAATCCGGTGATTTTGCATGACTCTGGGGGAATTGGAGAGGCGGATGGGGAGGAGGCGGAGGAGGAGGAGGAGGAGGGGGGAGAGGAAGAGGGGAGAGGGGGAGGTGGGAGGAAAGGAAGGAAGAAGAAGAAGGGGAAGAAGGCAAAGAGGGGGAAGAGGGGAAGGGGAAAGGAAGAGGAGGAATGGGAGTCAGGAGAGGAAACGGAAGAGTCCGAGTGGGATGAGGGGAAGGAGGAGGAGGAAGAGGATGAAGAGGAGGATGAGGTGGAGTGTGAGGGAGAGGATGAGGGGAGAGAGGAGGGCGGCGAGGAGGAGGGAGAAAGGATGGATGCTTTGTTACAGAGAATGCAGGCCGGGTCGAGAATGAGAGCTGCAAGAGAGAGGAGGGGAGTAGGGGGAAGAGGGGGAAGTGGAGGACGAGGGAGGGAAATTTTGACGCAAGAAGACAACGAGGAGGAGGAAGGAGATGGAACAGGAAAGAGAAGAAGCAAGGGAAGAGGGCAGAGTAAGGGCAGTGGGGGCAAAGGCAATGGGAAAAAAGGCAGTGGGGGTAAGGGCAGTGAGAGCAACAGCGGTGGCATGAAGGGTAGTGGAAGCAAGAGCAGCATCAACCGGCAGCATCAAGTCTACGAGAAATGGAGAAAGGCTCTCGAATCCGCTGTTGGGGTGACCCTACCGAAGAAACCCTCGTTAGAATCACACCCAAACTCGCCGCTAACCGCCCTCTCTTTAGTCCCCGTACCAGCAGCATCAGGTTTGGCCCGAGGCAACAGCCTCGTCATCACCACATACGAGCAGGTTCGGTTGCGGCGAGAGCTGTTCCTGGCCGTTGATTGGGGGTACGCGATACTCGACGAGGGCCATCGGATCAGGAACCCTGATGCAGACACCACGATTGCATGCAAGCAGCTTCGCACGCCGCACCGGCTGCTGCTGAGCGGATCACCGATTCAGAACCGGCTGGACGAGCTCTGGTCGCTCATGGACTTTGTCTACCCGGGCAGGTGGGTTCTTACCCTCCTGGTAAGTGGGTGGCTACCCCATTTTCTTAGCCGATTCAGAACCGGCTTGACGAGCTCTGGTCGCTCATGGACTTTGTTTACCTTGGCAGGTAAGCGGTTACCCTAGTTCCATTAGCCCCTTGTTCATTCATTCCCCAGGGCTCCTGATTGCATGCAAGCAGCTCTGCACGCTGCACGGGCTGCTGCTGAGTGGATCGCCGATTCAGAACCGCCTGGACGAGCTCTGGTCGCTCATGGACTTCGTTTACCTGGCAGGTGGGTGCTTGCGCTTGCTTTGATAGCCTCTTGCAAGGTCCTCAGGGCACCTGCTTCTCAACGAAGTTTGCCCTTCTCATAGCCACTGGTGAATGCCTCAACGCCCAAAATCCCACTCTTCCCCCTTTCCCGCACTTTCCAACCCTCCTCATCCCCCCCCCAAAACCCAAACCCCCCTACTGTTAATCGACTTTCGGGGTCAGGCTGGGCACGCTACCCGTGTTCTCAACAGAGTTTGCTCTCCCCATTGCGATTGGTGGATACCTCAACGCCACTCCCCTGCAGGTACGGGTGCTAGTTAGATGGTGGGTGGAATGAGCGGTGATGCTGAATGGAGAATGATATTGATAGTGAGTGGATGGTGAGAGGATGGTGAGTGGATGGTGAGAGGATGGTGAGTGGATGGTGAGAGGATGGTGAGAGGATAGTGAGTGGATAGTGAGTGGATAGTGAGGGGATAGTGAGTGAAGGTAGATGTGGAGGCAGTCACAGACATGCAGCAGGCATCCCCTTTTCCCCCCTTCCCTATCCCCACAGGTCGCCACGGCTTACAAGTGTGCGGTTGTGCTTCGAGACGTCATCCTTCCATACCTACTCCGGAGAGTCAAGGCGGATGTTGACATTCAATTGCCAGAAAAGACGGAACGCGTGCTGCTGGTGCCTATCACTAGATTCCAACGAACGCTGTACCGCGCATTTCTGCAGAGCGAGGAGATGCGGCAGATTCTGGAGCGGTATCGAAACAGCTTGTATGGGATCGATGTGCTGAGGAAAATCTGCAATCACCCGGATTTATTGGCGTTAGATGTGGATGAAAGGGAAGTGCTGGGAGGGGCAGGGGGAGGGGCAGGGGGAGGGGAAGGGGGAGGTGCGAGTAAGGAAGAGGAGGATCGAGAGGGGGTGAAGGAGGAGGGAGAAGTGGAGGGGGGGAGGAGGAGAAGGGAGAGGAGGCGGGGTGAGAGAGAGCGAGGGAGGAGGGGGGAGGGAGATTGCGAGGGTGTGATTGGTAGTGAGGGAGGAGGGGTGAGGAAGGGAGTGAGGGATGTGGTGGTGGATCCTAGAGAGGGGGGCCAGTGGGCCAAGTGGCGGGCGGCAGTGGTGGAGGAGGAGGGAAGGGAGGGAAGCAGAGGTGGGAACACGAGAAAGGGTGACCCTGATTTCGGTAACCCCGACCGAAGCTCCAAGCTGCAAGTGCTGGATAAGGTACGATGTGTTTTCAGCTTGCTTTGAATGCACGAGGAGGGGAGGGAAGCAGAGGTGGGAACTCGAGAAAGGGCGACCCTGATTTCGGTAACCCCGACCGAAGCTCCAAGCTGCAAGTGCTGGATAAGGTAAGTGATGCTACTTTTAGGTTGAGCTGACCAATTTAGGTGTGGAAAACTGGGCCACAGATCTTCAGTTTTCTGCCAGACGCAGCAGATGCTGGATTGGATGTAGTCGAGGTGACTTTTGAGTCAACTCAAAAGTCACCTTATAGTCGAATCCCTCGTGCTCAACCACAGCTTATCTTCTTCCGTTCCGTTCTTACCCCTGTCTTCCCCTTACTCTTCGTCCTGCTGTCTCCCTCTTAACACCACAGATACTCCATGTGTGGAAAGCTGAAGGGCACAGGGCGCTGGTTTTCTGTCAGACGCAGCAGATGCTGGATATAGTCGAATCCCTCGTGCTCAACTGTAACTTTGGATACAGACGAATGGACGGCAGCACGCCGCCCGGGCTGCGGGCGGCGCTGATCGACGAGTTCAACAGCGGGGAGGGCGGCGTGTTTGTCTTCTTGCTGACCACTAGGGTGGGCGGATTGGGAACGAATCTCACGGGGGCCAATCGGGTCGTGATATTTGATCCTGACTGGAACCCCTCGACGGACTTGCAGGTGAGCTGCTCTTGGTTGCGGTGTTGTGCGGTGCAGTATGGTCGCACTTCTCTTGTCCTCCTCATGTGTTGTAAGCAGTTTTTTGGGGAATTTTAGAACAGGTGCACGATCCTTTATATATATATATAATTATTATTTATTCATTCTTATCTTCTCATTTCTCCTTGCAGGCTCGGGAGAGGGCATGGCGCATAGGGCAGAAGAGGGAAGTGATCATCTACAGGCTTGTAACGAGGGGGACTATAGAGGAGAAGGTTTTTCACCGCCAGCTGTCGAAGCAGCTGCTTTCCAACCGCGTGCTTAGGGATCCAAAGCAGAAGCGGCTTTTCAAGTCCAAGGATTTAACAGACTTGTTTACTTTAGAAGAAGAGGAGGAGGGGGAGGAGGGAGGAGGTCAGGAGGCAGAGGAGGGTAGGGGAAAGCGGAAGGGGAGGGGAAGGGAGAGGGACGGTGGGGGAGGGAGTGGGAGGGGGGGTGGGATGGGGACAGATGTCAGCTTGCGATTGGACAATGCGGATGTGCTGGCGGGTCTACCCGGTGTGAAAATGGTGATGGCGGGAGGGGGAGGGGGAGGGACGCAGGAAGCAATGAGAGGAGGAGGTGGGGGAGGAGTTGAAGGGTCAGTGAGTGTGAAGGAGGAAGAGGGTGTGGAGGAAGTGAGGGAAGGTAATGGGACCCAGCTAGGCAGTGGCAACCATCAAGGCATGCTGGGGAGTACAGGGAGCAGGAGGAATACGGGGAATACAGGGAGCAGGAATTCAAGGCAGAATGGTAGTACGAGTAACGGGGAACGAGATGAGGCTAAGATTCTCAGATCTCTCTTTGAATCCAACGGTGTGCAGGCTGCGTTGGATCAGGATACGATCGAACGGCTGGCGTCAGCCGACCAGATTCGGATGGATTGTGAAGCAGCGGCGGTGGCAGCACGAGCAGAAGCAGCTCTCCGCCAATCACAGCGCGACCGAGCCTCCAGTGACGTTTCCGAACCTACCTGGACCGGCAGGTCTGGCCAGGCTGGTGTTCCAGCCAGGGGGGGGCGGAGGAGGTTTGGTTCGGCGAGCACCAACGCTAGCAGCAGGTTCGGGAGTGGACGAGGGGATGGGGGAGGGGTGAGCGCAGGGATCACGGGCGGCACTGTTTTGTCCTCTAGTGAGCTGGTGCAAAGGCTGCGGCAGAGGCAAGGTATGGTGCAATCTATAGCAAGAGGAGGAGGAGGGGATGGTAGTAGTGGCAGCATTGCTGCTGGTGGTGGTAGTGGTGGTGGTGGTGATGGGAGTGGTATTATGATGATAGTTGGGAGAGGCATTGGGCTAGGGGCTCGGTCAAATGGTCTTGGTATAGGTTTGGCAGGAAGAGGTTCAGATTCAGGCCCGGAAGCAGGTTCGGCAGCAGGAGGAATGCAGGGTGCTGCTTCCAGTCTGAGTCTACAGCAGAAGCTTGTGTTATTGTTCCAGGAACCAGGTTCGGCACCAGGCCTAGCCACAGGCTCGGCATTGTTAGGCTCGGCGGCATCCAGTACAACTTTGGGAGAGGCCGGTTTGACAGCTTCGGAAATCGTCCGGCAGTGTGCAGCGAGCTTCGGGGCAGGTTCAGTGTCAGATGTAGCGGCGTTGAGACGAGCTCTAGAGGCAGTGGCAGAAATAAGGGCTACAGGCACAGGGAGGGGAGAGTCAAAGTGGTTTCTGAAGGAACATTCTTGACTCGACTGGAATCCCAGTTCGGATGTAGTGGCGTTGAGACAAGCTTTAGAGGCTGTGGCATAGCTTAGGCCTACAGGCGTAGGAAAAAGAGATTCGAGTGGCTGTGACAGAACTAAGGGCTATAGGCGGGGGGAGGGGGGGAGTGGGGGAGAGTAATATTGTACCGTATGATGATCATACAATATTACATGACTCACAACACAATGTTGGATACACAGTTCTGGGACGAGAGGCTTTGGGGTGAAAGTATGATTCTTGTAATGGAACTGCTGGCGTTTTGTGTGCCACAGATGTACAGAAAAGCACATGGTGCATACATCCATGTATACCAGCATACAAATTAGAGCATGATCCTACGGCCTCATACGGTATTAGGCAGTCTCGTATCAGACTCGCGTCGAACCGCACTAAAACACACACAACCGTAGTCAAACACACTGAAACGTATTTCACCATGCGAAGCTGATAGGAGGTGCGTCTGATACGAGGTGTAGGAACACGCTCTTAGTGGTCTCCAAATTGTGGTTGCGGTAACACTTAAGCACACAAGAAACAACTCCCTCACTAACCCCAAAACGCTGTCCTTAATACAGACAAGAACGTACTACCGTATGTCATCACTTGAGCACATCACAGGCGGCCGTCTGCTGATTCTGATTTCGCCAGCTTCTTCCCCCCTCGCCCCACTTTTTAGGCGCCTCAAAAAGCGCCTCAGTCCTTAATACAGACAAGAACGTACTACCACATGTCAACACTTGAGCTCATCACAGGCGGCCGTCTGCTGATTCCGACTTTGCCAGCTTCTTCCCCCCTCGCCCCACCTTGAGCAGCGAGAAAAACCCCTTCTTGCCCTGCCCATGCGCCTGTGCCTGTGCCCGTGCCTGTGCCCGTGCATTAACTGTCTGCCCCCCACCATATGCACCTCCCCCAAACCCCCCCGCACCATACCCCCCTCCCCCATACGCCCCTCCCCCATACCCCCCTCCCCCATGCACCATCATGCCTCCTCCCGGGTAAACCCCATCCATTCGCCCTCCTGCTGCAGGAGTGACAGGCAAAGATGAGCTCTCCCCCATTGCCCCACCTCCCCCATATCCCCCTGTACCATATCCCCCTCCCCCATACGCCCCTCCCCCATATCCCCCTCCCCCATGCACCATCATCCCTCCTCCCACGTATCCCCCATCCATTCGCCCTCCTGCTGGCGTGACAGGCACCGATGAGCTCTCCTTCTTTGCCCCGCCTCCCCCACTGCTCCCCCCACTGCCTCCCCCACTGCCTGCCCTCCCCCCACTGTCCCCGCTCCCCTCTATGCTGCTACTGCTACTCACACCAGACGACCCGCTTCCAGAGCTATACCCCCCCCCATTCCCCCCGCCGCCTCCCCCCGTCCCCCTTTCCCCCATGAAAAACCCCCCAGGGGCGCTGCTAGCAAGCGCCTTCCCCACGCCACTGCTGAGTTCCGCTCCCCCCATCCCCCCCCACTGCGCCAGGCGCGGAAGATTCACCTCCAGCAGAAGCCGCTGTATCCGAGCCTGTCGCTCAGCCCTGGCAGCGATTTCCGCGGCTTGGTCCGCGGCTGCAGCTTCGGCATCCGCCACCCGATCCTCCTCCTCATTCCAAACCTCCCCCATCCCCCCTGCCTCACATTCCCCCGCCTCCCCCGCTTCCCCCGAATCTTCCCCCTCCCCCGCCTCCTCCCCTCCCGCCATAACCCGCTCCTTGATTCTGTCCCACTGCTGAAACGTTAGGCTTGCGAGCCCCTCCGCTCGCCCCTCCGACCGCCCCTCCGCTCCCCGCGCCCCACCCTCTCCCCGCGCTCCCCCCGCTGCCTGCGCCCCGCGCGCCCCTTGCGCCTCTTCTCCCGCCTTCCCTTGCGCCTGCAGCGCCGCCGCTCCCCTCTCCCCCGCGCCGTCACGAAACTTGCGCACAGGGCTCCGGGGCAACCCGCCTCCACCCACCTCTCCCCCCGCACGCGCCTGCCCCCGCGCGCCTAATTCCCCCCCCGCGCGCGCCTGCCCCCCTGCGCCCAGCCCGCAAGCAAAGGTTAGCTCCACAGCCGCCTCGTCCCCCGCTTGATACGGGATGAACTCCGGAATCTGCACCACAATCGGCGCCACAATCGGCGCCACAATCGGAGCCACAAACGGCGCAGCTATCGGCGTAGCTATTGGCGCCGCAATCGGCGCTGCTCCTGCTGCTGCTGGTGCTGTTGGTGCTGCTGCTGTTGCTGTTGATGTTGATCCTGCTACTGCCACACCGTGGTCGTTATGCAATAAGTCGTGTTCGGTTCGCTCCCGCAGCTTCTGCGCCTTGAGGCGAGAGAACACCGCCGTGTACCCTTCCGATTCGGATTCGGATTCCGATTGGCATCGCCGAACCGAGATCAGCGCTTCCGGACCTGATCCCGGACCTGTTCCCGAACCTCTTCCGCAGTCCGAGGCTGCCGCAGCGAGCCTGTCTTGACCGACGTTCGGCTCGTGACGGTAAACTGAATCGAGTCCGCTTGCCGCGGATAACGGAGGAATAACTCTCACGCGGCAAGAACTGGCCTTCACCCCAACTCTTCTCCCCGCTACTAGCTCGTCCCCGTTAGTAACCGCCCCGTTAGCAGCCACCCCGTTAGACACGGCTGCAGCTTCGGCAGTCTCCAAGGCTCGTTCTAAGGCTTCCGACTCACTTCCACTCCTTCCGCATATCAAGTCGCCCCGCTTGTTCCTCAACCGCTCCGCTCGTTTTCTCGCCGCGATCTTCGCAAACTCTCGCGTGATCGAACTCTGCTCCTCCTCCTCGCCCTCTCTCCCTCCACCGCCGCTTCCTCCGCCACATCCTCCGCCGCCTTCTCCGCCGCCAAACCCGGCAGCAATCCCGGCCCCACGGGTCTCCATTCCTCCATAAATACCGCCGTTGGTCCCGCTGCTTAGATCCGACGGTTCGCCGCGTTTCACGCCAGGAAGCCCAGAAACGGAATCGGCTGCCTGTCCGCGATAAGGAGCGGCACCCGGAGCGCCTATAATCATACTGTCGCCTAGTACACGGTCTTTACTTGCCTTAGACCGGGGTATAGGACCTACTAAGTCGTTCCCGCAACCTTCAGGCTTCACAAGATCTGCAGGATGGATCTCGTTATAAACACCCTCGTTACAGTCCAAACCAGGATAAACTCGTCCGTTCAACTTGCCTCCAGGATTGGTCGTTCCAGAGCCCTGCGAAATTCTCCTTCCGTTAGCGCCGCCGTTGGCGCAAACGTTAACGTTAACGTTGACGGAATTGGGAGACGGCGAAGAAGTTTCAGCGGCGAGGCGGCAGGCTCGTTTGAGAGCGTCGTCTAGCGAATGTCGTGGAGGATGGGAATCGATTAAGTGTGTGCCGTGCATGTCGTTTAGCAGAGCTTCCATTTCTTAGAGCTTCGCTTTTGAGATGTCTCAAAAGACTTTGCACTAAAAGGCAATATAACGTTTAATTACGCTACGAACATTTGTCAGTTTCCTGATGCAGGTTTCACGCTACGAACCACTAACCAAGAAAAGCACTGAATGCTTTGACCTAAAACAACTAATAAATACACATTTTCTGTAAAGAGCGGTGTGGACTGCGGTTTTCGGCGGTTAATCCAAATCGGCCGCTATCGTCGCATCCGCACAGCAGCCGTCATTCAGGAGCGTCTCACGACTTGGTTACTGTCTTCAGAACTATAGTTAGAGAGATGCGAGAGAATCGAGATCGTGAGTGAGGGAAGACGGTTATGTAGAATTGCGTTGGTTTGGAACCAACAAGATAAGATACACCTTTGCTAAGGCGTGTAGTTGGGCCGGGGGAAGCAGAACGAAGGGTACCGCTGACGGGGGAGGTGGCGCTCGTCTTGAGGATTTGCCCAGGATGATGTCTGGGCAGGGGACGCGGGAGAAACGCGTCGGGGGGTGGGGGTGGAGGGAAGACCTGGCGGGAAAGGCGGGTGAAAGGTATGGGGAAGCGGAGGTACGGAAGAAGGGGACGGGCAGGAAAGTGGGGGAAGGGGGAAAGGGAAAGGGAAAGGGTGGCGCGGGGACAGACGCGGGGAGAGGAGTGATGTTTACGCATCCAAGTCACAGGACGTGTGAAGTGGTGGAGGAGGTTTGAGGGTGTTTCGCAAGCTTTTGCTATCTGCTAGGAACCCTGAATGAGCGCCACCTTTAGAAGTGATGCACCATTCTCAAAACCATCACATCTGACACCACCGCATGAAAGTGAACTCTTCTGAAGAACGCTGAACACGACCTTCGTGGCTTCATCGAAATGAAACAGGTAGGTTCGGTGTGTTGCGCGCCCCGAAGGTCTGCCGCTTCTCCCCCTGCTGCAATTGGCTGCTTATTCTGCTCCATGCCTTGCGCTGCTCCACTCTTCATGCTGGGCTGGAGTAGAATCTGCTGACCTGTAGCAATCCGCGAAGCTGACCTGTAAAACCCGAGAGTTGGGTGTTTGGTCGGGTGGAGCTTCCTAGGGGCCGCTCCTTTACGGACCACGAATCAGCGGCGGAAAGAATCTGAACGTTCACCTCATATAATCTTGATCGTCCGTTGCCGTGGCCGCTTCCTTGTCTGAATCTCGGCGAATGAGGTTGACCCCAGGCAGCGGTTTCGATTGACTCACATGTTCGTAGTGTAGTCCTGTTTAGGAAAATTCGGGGGAATGTAAACGAGACCCTGAAGTGCAACAAATAACTTGCCAATTTACACAAAATGATACCATAGTATATTCCAACACAGCTTTCTGTCCAATACATTTTCACCTGGTTGACTCTCTTTCCTTCAACCTCTCACCACTTGAGAGCAGAAAGAAATGATTACACTCACACAAGTAAGCTTATGGAGTAAAAATAACTCTATTAGGGCAAGCAAACTACAGCTTTGAGTACCCATCACAGTAGCAGTTCGGCAAACGAAAAGAAGAAAGAATCCACAGGGGCCAAGAGGGAGGTATGGACGGAGAAAGGAGGAAGGACATAAACAGTAACCGGATGGCAAGGGAGTGTGTAATGTAGGAAGTGCAAGGGGAATGGGGGGAGAGGAGGAAGCAAGGGATGGTGGGGGGAAGCCAATGACACGCCCCCAAGTTAGAATAAGCCAAAACGACAGTCAAGCAGAAAATACAGCAGCACAGAGCACCGGATCGACTTCTTTCCAGCCACTACGATTGAAGCCGCTGCTGCTGCTGCTGCTTCACCTCCTGCCACAGCACAACCATACCACACCATTCTACACAACACCACGCCACAACTCACCTCAGTCAACCACTCCTCAATCAAATGTTTTCCAATATACTATCTCTCAATAAATTATCCCTCAATCCCCCCTCAGTTCACCCACCCTTAATTCTATCCTCCATCGATACACCCACCTCCTCAGTACAATCCCCTTCAATACACCACCACCCCCAAGAGCACATCCCTAGCAGCAGCCAGCACCTCACTAGTCACAGACCACAGCCGAACCTTCCTCAGCCTCGGAAGCCCCCGAACCTGCCTCAGCCCGAGCGGGGTCACGTTCGGGCCGCTCAGGTGCAGCTCCTCCAGCCAATCGTACCCCGCCAGCTGGCACAACCCCTCGTCAGACACACCCGACCAGGAGAGATTGAGGGAAGTGAGGGAGGAGGCGAGGGGACGGAGGTGTGCCAAGCCTAGGTTCCCCACGGGGCACTGGGAGAGATCGAGGCGACGAAGGGTTCGAATCTGCCCGATGTGTTCCATGCCTGAGGAGGTTAGGTTCGGGCACCGCCACATCCGAAGCTCCTGCAGGCCCGGGGGAAGGGGAGTGCTGCTGATGATGCTAGTGCTGCTGGCGGTACTGTCGGTGCTGCTGTCACCAGTGTTGCTAGCACTGGTGGAAGCAACAGACGAAAGGGAATCAGCACTGCCGGCACTTAGCTGAGAAAGATGCACTAGAGCAGCGTCAGTGACAGCAGAACCGGAGATATCCAGCACTCGCAGTCGACTCATCCTCCCTATAGCCTCCAAGCCTGCATCTGACAGCTTACACCCATCCAAACAGAGGTCTTCGAGCCATGGCATGCCTTCACACACACACAGTATTCCCTCCTCTCCCACCCGCACACAGTTGGACAGGTCGAGCTTGCGCAGTGATGTGAGAGGGACTAGATGACGGAGAACGCCGCCCCTTGTGGCCACAGACCCAGGCTGTTCAACCGTCCTGCTGCTGGTAGTGGTGGTGGTGCTGCTGCTGCGTTTACCGCTGCTGGTGCTGCTGCCTTTGTTGCTACCGGTGCTACTGGTGCTACTGGTGCTACCCAGATGTGGCTGCTCCATCTGCAGGAAACCAAACCACGAGCTTCCCTGTGCAAACGCCCCTAGCTGGTCCATTATCGTGCCCTTACCCGCTTCCTCCCCTCCCTCCTCCCCTCCCTCCTTCCCTCCCCCCTTCCCTCCCTTCCTCCCCTTCCCCTTGTCTTCCACCCCCAGCTGCTCACACCCACTAAGAACCAACTCGTTAAGAGAAGAAGACAGGGCTTTAAGAGACACCAGACCCTCGCCTGTGATCCTAGTGAAGCTCAGGTCGAGGGCTTGGAGGCGGGAGAGGTGTGCAATGTGGTGCAGAGCGGTGTCGGTGAGTCGGGAGCAGCCCACTAGATGCAGGCGGAGGAGGGAGCGGGAAGCAGGGGCAGGGGGAGGGGGGCGTGGGATGAACGGAGAGGAAGGTTCTGCGGAAGGTTCTGTGGAGAGTTCTGCAGGCTCTGTGGAAATCTCTGTGGGAAGAATCTGAGCAGCAGGCTCTGCAGCAGCAGATTCAGTAGCAGCAGCAGCTTCAGTAGCAGCAGCAGCTTCACCGGCAACAGGCTCTGCAGCAGCAGATTCAGCAGCAGCAGCAGGCCCAGCAGAAGAAACATCCTCCCCAGCCTTGAGGGTTTCACAGCCCGCAGCTTCAGTGGCTGCTGCAACAGCTGATCCATCAGCAGAGGAAGGTTCCTCCGAGCCAGCAGAAGCTTCCTTAGACCCAGCAGCAGATTCCTCAGAGCCAGAAGAAGCTTCCTTCGAGCCAGAGGCTTCGTTAACATCAGCGCCAGTGGTACTAGAATCAGATGCTGCAGCAACATCCGCAGCAGCACCTGCACCTGCACCTGCGTCAGCAGCTGGAATAACCACTGAAGCAGCGGCACTGGCACCAGTCCCGGCAGCAGCAGCAGGTGCAATAACGCCCGAAGCAGCAACAGTTGCAGTACCAGCAGCAGCAGCAGCGTCGTCATCATCACTGTCCTCCCCAACGAAACGTGCCAGCGCATCACGAGCAATAGACCCTGGAGACCTCGTCCTAGGGATTCGCCCTGCCGGCCCTGCTGCTGCAACCACCACTGCCGCACCTGCTGCTGCTGTTGTGACTGATGCTGTTCCTACAGCTGGGGCAGCGGCAGCAGCAGGAGAAGTACCCTTACCCACGGCTGCTGAAGCTGACGCTGCTCCTGTAACAGCTGCTTCTGCTTTCACACCTGCTGCTTCTGCCCTGACAGCTGCAACAGATGCCGCTGCTGCCGCCTCTCCTTCAGCCTCTGCTGCTCTAGCCAGCACCACCCGCGCTCTCTCCTTACCAACAGTCAGCGCCTCAGACACCACCAGACACGCAATTCCTTCATCAGTCACCCGTGTATGCGACACATCCAGGCTCTTCAACCCCCCCATCTGCCCAATCCTCTCCATGCCTCTATCATTCAAAGCCGTGCCCGATAGCCCAAGCTCCTCTAGCCAGCTCATCTCGCGACACACCCTCTCCATCCCTCTCTCTCCGATCCCCAGACACACCCCCAGGTCTAATTTCCTTAGCCGTTTCAGCTTCACGATCCACTGTACACTCACGTCGGTTACCAGGTTACACTCGCTGAGATCCAACTCCCTCAGCATCACCAGCGGCTCGAGGCACCTCAGCCCCGCATCCCCTACAGGAGTATAGCTCAGGTCAAGCGAGTCAATGGAAGTCAACCGGCCGATCTGTAACACCCCTTCAGTGGTAACCCCAGTGCATCCCCGAAGGTGGAGGCCGGACAAGCCGGGGAGAGCTGTGGCGTGGCGGAGGGAGGAACCTGTGAAGGACTTGCAGGAGGAGTCTGAGGAGCCGAAGCGGAGGGAGGAGATGGAGGAGAGGATGGCAGGGGGGAGGAGCTGGGCTAGGAGGAGGAATTGCTCGAAGTCTTTGTCTGTTGTGTTGGGGAGGCGGGTGAAGTCTACAGTGTGTCTGATGGTGGTGTGAGGGAGGGTGATGCTGCTGCTTGTGCTGCTGCTGGTGCCACTGCTGCTGCTGGTGGTGGTGCTTGTGCTGCCAGTGCTGCTGCTGGTGCTGCTCGGGGCTGTGGTTGATGCTGTGTTTGGAACTGCTACAGTGGTTGACGCTTCTCCATCCTTAGAGGTTGCCTCGTCATCATGAGCCAATTTGGAACCCTCATTCTGCTTCTCCTCTCCTGCCTTCCCACCTGCTTCTCCAGCTCCTCCTCCTGCTGCTCCTGCTCCCGCTCCTCCTACCCCTGCCATTTTTCCACTCACACTTCCTGTGACTCTGCCAATTCTTGTACCTGTGCCTGCCCCTCCCACTGTTGCTGCTCCTGCTGCACTCCCACCAGCACTCTTCATGCCCTCCCACTTCTTTCGCAGTTCCTGCACTGCCAATGCGCACTCCTCCTCCGGCTGCTGCTGCTGCTGCCGCCCTTCCTGCTGAGGCACCACCAAGGCACTCTCTTGCTGCTGCTGCCTCTCCCTCTCACCTTCGCTCTCCATCCTATCCCTGCACACCCTTTCCAGATCGGCCAATTGCCTCGCGTGCTGCCTCTGCGTTAGCTCAAGAGTTGCAGCAGCATTTGCTTTCTCCCTGCACATTCTCTCCAGTACAGCCAACTGCCTGGCGTGCTGCTCCTGCTGCTGCTGCTGCTCCTGATGCTGCTGCCTCTCCCTCTCACCTTCACTCTCCACCCTCTCCCTGCACACCCTTTCCAGATCGGCTAGCTGTCTGGCATGCTGCCTCTGCGTCAGCTCGAGAGTTGCAGCAGCGTTTGCCTTCTCCCGACAGATTCTTTCAAGCACAGCGAGCTGCCTGGCGTGCTGCTCCTGAGCCAGCTCAAGAGCCGCAGCAGCCTCTGCTTTCTCCCTGCACACCCTTTCCAGCAGAGCTAGCTGCTGGGCATGCTGCTTCTGAGTCAACTCCAGAGCATCCACTCTCCCCATACACTCCCTGCTCTCTTCACATGCACAAACTGACACCTGTGTTGACTCTGAAACAACAGCAGCAGCAATGCCCGCCTTCTCTCCACAATCACTAGCAGACACCTGCGGTGTCGAGTCAAGAGCACCCACTCTTATCGACTCAAGAGCACCCACTCTCTCCTTGCGCTCCCTACTCTCCGCACAACCCCTAGCTGGCACCTCCGTGGACTCAAGAACAGCAGCAGCATCTGTCATCACCTTGCACGCTTTTTCCAACAAAGCCACTTGCCTTGCGTGCTCCTCTGGAGTCGACTCAACAGTCACAGCAGCACTGGCTTTCTCCTGACACGCCCCCTCTTCACAACCCCTAGCTGGCACCTCCGTAGACTCAAGAACAGCAGCAGCGTCGGCCATCACCTTGCACGCTTTTTCCAACACAGCCACTTGCCGCGCTTGTTCCTCTGGAGTCTCTCCAAGAGTCACAGCTGCAGCACCGGCCTTTTCCAGACACTCCCTTTCCACCAAACCCTCCTGCTTCGCCTGCTCCTCTGAACCCACCTCAACAGTCACAGCAGCAGCACCGGCCTTTTCTTTCTCTTTCTCTCGGCACGCCCTCTCAAGCAGAGCCAGCTGCTTGGCGTTCTCCTCGAGGGACAGCTGCAGCTGCAGCAGCTGTGCCTGCTGCTCCTGGGCCTGGGCACGCAGCAGCTCCACTTGCGCTGACAAGTCCTGTGGCGTTTCAAGAGTGAACTGCGGCTGCTGCTGCACCTCTTGATCAGTTGACTGGGAAGGCGCCTGCTGCTCCTGGGCCTGGGCACGTAGCAGCTCCTCCACTTGCGCTGTCAAGTCCTGGGGCGTTTCAGGAGTGCTCTGCGGCTGCAGCTCTTGCTGCGCTTGCTGCTCCTGGGCCTGGGAACGTAGCAGCTCCTCCACTTGCGCTGTCAAGTCCTGGGGTGTTTCAGGAGTGCTCTGCGGCTGCAGCTCTTGCTGCGCTTGCTGCTCCTGGGCCTGGGAACGTAGCAGCTCCTCCACTTGCGCTGTCAAGTCCTGGGGTGTTTCAGGAGTGCTCTGCGGCTGCAGCTCTTGCTGCGCTTGCTGCTTCTGGGCCTGGGCACGTAGCAGCTCCTCCACTTGCGCTGTCAAGTCCTGGGGTGTTTCAGGAGTGCTCTCCGGCTGCAGCTCTTGCTGCGCTTGCTGCTCCTGGGCCTGGGAACGTAGCAGCTCCTCCACTTGCGCTGTCAAGTCCTGGGGTGTTTCAGGAGTGCTCTGCGGCTGCAGCTCTTGCTGAATTGACTCGACATACTCCTGCTGAGTCGACTCGCAAGGCGCTTGCTGCTCCTGGGACTTGCTGCGTGGCAGCTCCTCCACCTGAGCTGACAAGTCCTGGGGCGTTTCAAAAGTACTCTGCAGCGGCAGCTCTTGAGGCAAGTTAGAAGGAACTTGAGTTGACTCAGAAGGCTGTTGAGTTGACCCAGAGGGCTCTTGAGTTGACTCAGAAGGCGCTTGAGTTGACTTGGAAGACTCTTGCTCCTGGGAGTCTGAGCATAGCAACTCCACCTGGCTTGCAATGGATGCAGCTAGGGAAGTCGATGCTGCTGCGGCGGCGGATGGTGACGTTGGTGCTGCACATGGTGATGGTGGTGGTGATGATGGTGATGATTGGGCTGCAGACGGGGCTGCAGACGGGGCAACATCACCAGATGGGGCTGCAGACGGGGCAACATCACCAGATGGGGCTGCAGACGGGGCAACATCACCAGATGGGGTTGCAGACGGGGCAACATCACCAGATGGGGTTGCAGACGGGGCTGCGACTGCTGCTGCTGCTGCTGTTGCTGCTGTAGAAATAGCAGCTGATGATGATGTTGGTTGTGCTGCTACTGTTTCTGCAGGCACTGGTGGTGCTGGTGGTAGCAACTCTGCTAAAGCTGTTGCTGCTGCTGCTGACGGGGACTCTTGAGTCGAATCTGGAACTTTCTGTTCCTGGGTAGACACTCCAGGGGATGCAGGCGCTGCTGCTCCTGTTGCTTCTGCTGCTGCTCCTGTTGCTTCTGCTGCTGCTCCTGCTGCTTCTGCTGCTGTTGCTGCTGTTGCTCCTGCTGCTTCTGTTCCTGGTGCTGCTGTTGCTCCTGCTGCTTCTGTTCCTGGTGCTGCTGTTGCTCCTGCTGCTTCTGTTCCTGGTGCTGCTGTTGCTCCTGCTTCTGGTGCTGTTGTTGCTCCTGCTTCTTCTGCTTCTTCTTCTGGTGCTGCTGTTGCTCCTGCTGCTTCTGCTTCTGCTTCTGCTTCTGCTTCTGCTGTTGCTCCTGCTGCTTCTGTTCCTGGTGCTGCTGTTGCTCCTGCTGCTTCTGCTTCTGCTTCTGCTTCTGCTTCTGCTTCTGCTGTTGCTCCTGCTGCTTCTGCTTCTGCTGCCGCTGTTGCTCCTTCTGCTCCTGCTGCGACTCCTGCTGATGCTGCTGCTGGTGCCGACTCTTGAATCGAATCTGAACTCTTCTGCTCCAGGGTAGAACCTTGAGAGGATGCAGGCGCAGCTGCTTTCCCTGCTGCTTCTGCTGTTAATGGCGACTCTTGAGTTGACTCTAGAGTCTCCTTATCCTGGGTAGACCCTCGAGGGGATGCAGGCGCTGCTGCTTCCACAGCTTCTGCTGCTGCTTCTACTGTTAATGGCGACTCGTCAGTTGAATCTAGAGTCTCCAGATCCTGGGTAGGCGCTAGAGGACATACAGGCGCTGCTGCTGATGCTGCTCCTGCATCTGCTGCTGCTGCTGCTTCCTCTGCTGCTTCCGCTGCTGCTGCTGCTGATGGTGACTCTTGAATCGAATCTGAACTCTTCTGCTCCTGGGTAGAACCTTGAGGGGATACAGGTGCAGCTGCTTCCCCTACTGCTTCTGCTGCTGCTTCCCCTGCTGCTGCGGCTGCTGCTGCTGATGCTGATGGCGGTTTTTGAGGCAATTCAAATTTCGCCACATCCCGGGGCGTAGGGCACAGGAGATCCATCTGGGTTGCTACCGCTGCCACTGCTGCTGCTGATGGCGACTCTAAATGTAACTCATAATCCCTTACATCCCCGGGTGTAGGGCACAGGAGATCCATCTGGCTTGCAGCAAAAGTCACAGAAGGGACAGGAGTTACAGACGCCGATGCAGCTGCTGCTGCTACAGATGTTGCTGCCGGTTTGGGTGATGGTGGCGGTGGTGGTGCTGCTACGAACACTTCTGCTGGTGCTGTTGCTGCTGCATCTACAGACAATGATGGTGCTGTTGCTGCTGCTTCAACAGACACTGGTGGTGGTGTCGTTGCTGCTGCTGCTGCTGCCTCTGCTCCTGGTGCAACTGTTTCAACTGCTGCTTCTGCTGTTGCAGCAGATGATTCAACTGCTACTTCTGCTGTCAGTGCAGGTGATTCCATTGCTGCCTCTGCTGTAGTAGCAGGTGATTCAACTGTTGCCTCTGCTCTTGTAGCAGGTGATTCAACTGTTGCCTCTGCTGTTATAGCAGGTGATTCCACTGTTGCCTCTGTTGTTGTTGCAGTTGAATCAACTTCTGCCTCTGCTGCTGGCGCTGATAATCCAACAGGTGTCTCTGCTGTTATGGCAGTTGATGCTGTTACTGCAGAATCTGCTGCCATTGGTGCTGGTTCCGCTGTCACTGCTGGTGCTGGTGGTGCTATTTCTGGCCTTATAAGACCTGCTTCTGGTGCTGCTTCCATTGCTACTTCAGCGCCTGCTGCTCCTGGTGCTGCATCTTTCGCCACTTCGGTTGCTGCTGCCTCTGGTGCGGCTTCTCTTTCTGCAACTTCTGGTGCTTCTGGTGCTGCTTCTACTACTGCTTCTGTTGCTGCTACAACAGGTGCTTCTGTTGCTGCTACAACAGGTGCTTCTGTTGCTGCTACAACTGGTGTTTCTGTTGCTTCTGATACTTCTGCTGCTGATTCTGTTGCTGCTGCTGTGGCCACTGCTTCTGGTGTTGTTTCTGGTGCTGCTGCTTCCGCTGCTGCTTCTGACGCTGCTAATTTTGCTTCTGCTGCCCCTGCTTCTGCCACTGCTTCTTCTCCTGCTTCTGCTGCTTCTGCTGGAGCTGTGGTTGACGCACAGAGAGCCTCCCCTTCCACCGAAGCCCCCACCTTCTCCAACACCACGTTCGCAATTGCATGTGTTGAAGATGCTACTTCAGCTGCTGCTGAGTCTGCTTCTGCCACTGCTGGCTCTCCTGCTGCTGCTGCTGCATCAAATTCTTCTGTCGCCCCTGCTGCTGCCTCTCCTGCCACGTTTGCTTCTGCTGCTGCTGCGCCTGCTTCTTCTTCTGCCCCTGTTGCTGCTGCTCCTTCTGCCACGTCTGCCCCTGCCACTGCCGCAGCTTCTGCTGCAGCTACGGCTGTCACACAGCGAGCCTCCCCATCCACCAGCCCTCCCACCTTCTCCCCCACCTCCTTCATCATCGCATCAACACGAGCATTCCACTCCGCCTGCTGCTCCAAAACCCCCTCAATCCGCGCTTTCAGTGCCACTAGCGCATCTATCTCCGCGTTTCTTCCCGCCTGCTGCTCCAAAACCCCCTCAATCCTCGCTTTCCATCCCACCAGCGCTTCTATTTCCGCGTTTCTCCCAACCTGCTGCTCCAACACCCCCCGCACTCGCGCAGCCAGCGCCGCCATCACCTCTTGGACCTGCTTCAGCATACTGTCAAAATCTGCCGCCCGCACCGCCAGCTGTCCCACCCGCTGGACGCCAAACTCTGCTATCCGCTGCATCCCCTGCACGCGCCTCTCAAACCTTACCTCTTGCTCTGCCAGCTGCTGCTGCACCCACCCTCTGTCCGCCACTGCTGCTGCCGCTGCCACTTCTCCTGCCTCCGCCCCCGCCCCTTCCCCTTCAGATGCCCCTTCCTCTGATCCAGACGTTGCCCCTGCCACTGCCCCTTGCCCTGCCCCCCGTTCCGCCCCTGCACTACCCCCTGCTCCTGCTGCTCCTGCTGCGCCTGCTGCCGCTTTCACAGCTGCAAGAATCGCAGCGCCCTCTTCAGCCTGCTTATGCGCCTTCTCCAAGGAAACACTCGCCATTCGTTGCAAAGCCTCCATTCTCCACCTTAACTTCTCCTCCTGCTCTGACAGCTGCTGCTGCACCCACCCTCGGTCCGCCACAATCGCAGCCGCCGCCTCTGCCGCTGCTGTGATCGTCTTAGGGCCTCCAGGGGAGGTCAGAACACTCGCCCCTACGGACGCAGCACGGGGGAACGCAGCGTGGGTCACTGCAACAGCGGCTGACGCTGCTGACGCGGCTGATGCTGCTGCTGACGTGGTCTGCGCCTGCTTCAGCTCCAACGCGGAGATTTTATCTGAAAGCTGTTGGATCGTGGATGCCACGTCAGCAGCTGCCGCGTCAGCCTTGTGCTGCTGCTCTTCCAGGAGCTTCTGCAGGTGCTCCACCTTCTTGGAAGGTTCGCCCAAAGCTGCTGCTGCTGTTGGCTCCTGCAGGTGCTCGACCTTCTTGGAAGCTTCGTCCAAAGCTGCTGCCACTACTTCCGGCTGCTGCTGCTGCTGCTGCTGCTGCTGCTGCTGCACCACACCAGCCGCTGCCAGCTCAGCTGCACTCAGAGATTTGATTTCCTCCTCAGATTTGATTCCGTGCATTTGGTCTTTTCCAACCTTGGCAATTTCTGCTGCCACCCGGGCCACTTCTCGACCAATCAGCACCACGTCCTCTAGACACTTAACCTCCTCCTTCCTCCCCTCTTGCTCCTTAACACCCGCAGCTATTGCTGCTCCCACACTCGCCACCTCCCGACCAATCAGAACCACCTCCGCCAGAAGTCCACTCCCCTCCACCCCCTCGCTTGCTGTTGCTGCAACCTCGTTGCTAATCTTGCTGCTGATCGCCTTGCTGATTTCCAACACCACTCTCCCCACCTCCGCAGCCTGGCTCCCAACGGCGTCTATCTCCCCCTTCAGCTCCCTCACACTCTCCTCCACAGTCCCCTCCGCACTCCCCCCCAGCCTCCCCACTCGTACCTGCTCTGCAACCGCCTTGCTAATTTCCAACACCACTCTCCCCACCTCCGCAGCCTGCTGTCCCACAGCGTTGATCTCCCCCCTCAGCTCCCTCACACTCTCCGCCACACTCCCCTCCAGTCTCCCCACTCGCTCCTCCACACTCGCTTCTGCTCCTTTCACCCTCTCCTCTATACCATTCTCTGCTTCCCCCACCTTCTCCACACCCTCCACCTTCCTCACGCTTTCCCCCACACTCTCCTCAATCTTTCTCACTCTCTCCTCCACACTCTCCTCTACCTTCTTCAGCCTATCTTCTAATTTCCCTTCAATTTCTTTCACACGCTCCTCAACACTCCCCGCCACCTCCCCCACTCTCTCCTCAACGCTCTTCTCTTCAAGTTTCTCCACCTCCTTAACCACCTCCTCTAGATTCCTCACTCCCGCCATCACACTCTCTTCCACCCTCTTAGCCCTCTCCTCCATACCCTCTTCTAATTTCACCACCTTCTCTCCCACACTCTCCTCAAGCTTCCTCACTCTCTCTCCCACACTCTCCTCAAGCTTCCTCACTCTCTCTCCCACACTCTCCTCTATTTTCTTCACATTCTCCTCTACCTTACCCACTCTCTCCCCCACACTCTCCTCCACCTTTCTCACTCTCTCCTCCACACTCTCCTCAACCATCCTCGCTTTCCTCTCCGCCTCCTCCATTAACCTCTCCTGCCCCTCCGCCTGCTCCCTCACGCGCCTATCCACCGCTTCAATCACAATCTTATTACACTTCACCCCCGTTTCAATCCGCGCAACCATCCCAGGCACATCCGCACCCATCCAAAGCTCCTCCAACTGCTCTACCTTCTGCTGACTCCCCTCAATCCTCCCGTCCAGCTCCTGTTTCAGCCCATCCACCTTCTCACTAACGATCTTCTCAACCCTATCCACCTCCAGCCCAGCCTCTACCCTCATTTCAGACACCTTCTGCAAAATCCGGCTCTCCATGTCATGCTCACCGCTCTCCACCCCGTCCAGCCGCTCCTCCAGGTTTTTCACCCTCCCGCCCAGGCCCGCAGCTCTCCACTCCTCGCGAATCTCCTCCATAGGACCAATTAAAGCCTCGTTTGCCTGAGCCTGCTGCACGCGCCACTCCTCGCGCATCTGCTCCATCTGTTTCCTCACCGCTTCCTTCTCTGCCCTCAGCGCGTCGTTCGCTTGCTCCTGCTGCGCCCGCCATTGCTCCCTAATCTCCTCCATCTCTCTCCTCACCCTTGCCATTTCCTCTAGCTGCTGCGCCTGCTGCTGCGCCCGTGCCTCCTCGAGTTTCTTCGCCCACTGCTCCTGCACGGCTTTAATCTCCTCTTCCAGCTGTTGCCTGTGCGCCGCCTCCGTTATAAGCAGATTCACCATCCGGTCCAGCTCAGCTTCCCGCTTCCTCCCCTCGCCGCTCACCGCTCGCTCCATCTCCTCCCTCAGATCGCAGATCTTACGCTCGGAATCGATTTCTAGCCGTTGGATGCCTCCCTCCAGCCGCGCCTCTTCCTTCTCCAAGAGTTGCAGCAGCGCTCCTTTAAGAGCATCCCCGTTAGTACCAGCCCAGGGCTCCAGGCCCCGAGCAAGACCGACCTTTGATTGCGCCTGTTGCTTCTCAAGCGAACCAGCCGCCAGTTTACCTGGTAACCAGTTTTCGCCGGTGGCTGATACAGCTTCCGCAATCACAGCTCGTTCGACTTCGCCTGCTTCGCTCGCCCCGTCAACCACACCAACAGCTGTCGGGGCGCTCACCTTGTCCAGCCGTTCCCCACCACTTGGCACCGATCCTGACACCTTATTCTCCACCTGAGAATTCACCCATTGTTCAATCGCCTCAACCGCCGTCCTCCCTCCGCCAAACCTCGCTTCAAGGCGACCCAAGCACGCGTGAATCTCCGGCGCAAGCGCTCCCTTCCCGTTCAACTCCAACGATCCTCCTTTCGATTGTTGAACATCAGTCCCTTCTCCTCCTCCTCCTCCGCCTGCTCCCGCTCCGCCTTCCGTTGCGAGACCTAATAGGCCTCGCAACATCTCCCCGTCGTCGAGTGTCTTCTTTACCTCCCGATCCACGTCTAAGGCCATAGCCACGGTCACCGCCATCACGCCATGGACTTGGGAGTTAAGGCTCGGGCTCTGAGATTTAAGGCTCGGGCTCTCCGGGTGGCTGTTAGTGGTAACGTGGTTACCATGGTCGATGTGGTTACCAATGTTACTGTGGTTACTCGTGGCAGAGCTCGTGCTGCCGCCGCTCCCTCCCCTGGCGGTCGTACTGGTGCTGGTGTCACTGCTGGTGTTGGAGGCAGTCGGGTTACCACCAGTAACCGTGCTTCCTTCTTGGGTGCGGTGGCCATTGTGGTGGTTGTGAGGCGAAGGGCGTGGCGCCTCTTGGTCAAGCTCAAGGAGCTTATCGGCGACCAATGACAGCTTGCCACGTAGCCTCGCGAGGAGGGCCGCTGACATGGCGCTCTGAGAGGATGAGAGAGGGAAAGAGAAGGTACGGGTAAAATAAACAACCGCAATAAAGAATTAGCGAAAGAGACAAGGCAAATGGAAACGGAAAGGGCAAGACGGCAAAAAAGAGTAGAAGAAAGAGACGGAATAAAGGAAAACCTTAACGAAGCGACGAGAAGGTACTGCGAGAGCTGCAACAGTTTTAGTACCAGAAAAACACCAGAGACATAAATGCGTTCTTCCGGTTTCTCTACAACTGGAACAGGATAAAAACATACTCTTGCTCCCTTCCAGACCATTATAGACCGTGACATTTGAATCAAGAAAGAACGGCCAACCCATATCTCGTCCCTTTTAAAATAGCGAATCAACAAGCTATAGTAAACGCATTAGCTAGTACTCAATGACTAAGGCGAGCATGAATTTTGCAGAAAACAATCATAGGAAAAAACAATCGTTACGAAACGGAGTTGCGACATGGAGCTACGTTAAGAGCGCCAATGCTCAAGTTGACGCTGTTTTTACCGTCGCCATTGATGCCTTAGCTAGGAGATAAGCCCCAAAGGACAACAAGTTTCATTGGCTTCCGGGATAAACCAAAAATAAGAGGGTCCTAAACAGTGAAACCTTGTCAGCATGACATAGGTGCTGTCATTTCGCGCCTTACTCACCGGCGACCCAGACTTAAGCAGTTGTCGTGTAGAACGGTGATATAAATTAAGGACGATCCACGCCTGCTTAGTTGATTATGACCTTCAATGGCGAATGAAACCTAGGCTTATTTCTCCAAAATTGATTTCTTCGAGAGGTTTCAGTCACACTAAACCATCACGACAATATCCATCGTACTCGATCCACTACACTAAGGACAATCCCCTTTTGTTAACTAACCGAACCACAGAGTCTGTAATCCAGTAAACAACTATCCATGGCGGACCACCTACCGTCACCTAACCACCTCGATCCTCCATGGCTGATTAGCAGTCTTTTCGGTTTACTCTCCTTTGAACCTCCTCCACCTTTCTATCTCGGCAATCCCAAGGTTGTTGGAGTTTGGTGTGGCTGAAATGTGGGGCCTTTTCCAAGCTTCTATGCTTTCTTATATCGAAGTCGGTTTTCCCTGTGGTTCGTGCGTGGCGTGCCTGTTGCGAATTTGCTGGAAGTACGGTCCAGATGGCAACATGGGCACTGAGGCCGTTTCGAGGACCGAGGTGATCCAGAAGAATGATAAATGAGATATGTTCAATTCACTGTGTACATTGAGACGAATGCAGTGTTCATAATATGTTTTTCCTGCCAAAAATGTCATTGTCGTGCCGAATTCAATTACGCCGGTGTTACTCACATTGCGCGAAAACAGAAAGTGCTTCGTTCGCAAACGTCGACCTACACACCCTGTGTTCTTTCCGCAGCACAGACCTCGCCCAATGTGCCCCCTCCACGTCAGAACCCATTGTGCATGATGGTCGTCGCTCGCGCGTTACTTTCGCACGGGGCGGGCAAAGCACCCCCCCGCCTCACCTTTTCTCATGTACCCCCTTTCCGCCTCACCTTTCTCGACAGCGCAAGCCTCAGCATTTGTTTGCGTCCAAATGGTGTGTCTCAGCAAGGTTGTGTACGTTTTTAGAGCGTGAAACAAGAACTTGGTAAGGTTCTGTAGGGTATAGAGAGGCTGCATGAACATTGACGGCTCTCTGCCAGGTTCTCTTCTTGCCCTGGTTTGTTTCAACCAGTCACCAGTCACGCATGTCTCATGACAGTCCACAACCCACTCACCCACTTTTCCTGCCTTCCGTTCTCCGTGCATGATTGTTCATTCGCTGGATCGCGAACCGCACTTATTGACTCGTGGACAGGGAATCATGGTCCGCGGATAGAATTTATCTAGGCGCGTATTGGTGGTGGGCGTGAATGATCAACTCGCTAAGGATCTTTCGTAACGCTAGAGCCCACGGCTTGCGTACCTGAGTACCCTTCCAGCTCTCTCCTACAATAGCTACCAGACAGCGTTACTTACCCTAAAGTTAAAACTGCTCCACATAACACTGATAAACCCTTCTAACCTGACGTAGTTTGTTTCGTTTCGCGAGCCATCAATGGCTCGGCGGACGCCGGGACTCTCACATGTAAACCACCTTTTAAAATCCGTCCAGATTCAATGAATCTCCCGATGGCGTCGGAAGACGATCGGCAAGTCGCACAGGAGCTCGGGCTCCTCCTACGAGGCACCGGGGAGGGAAATGTGCCGTTTTCTCAGACTCGTTACGAGCAAGTGTCTATATCGGGGACGACTGGGGGGCTGGGAGACGGCTCTGCAGCGTCAGCGGCCGCGTCCCTAGAAGCGCAGTATGGGCTGCGAGACCAGCAGGGGGCTGGGGGGGGCGCTATGACGGGTGGAATGGCGGGCGGAATGGCGGGCCCGGAGGGTTTTGGCGGTGCGCCTGCGGCGGGGGGATATGGCGGGCGGGACTACCCCCACAGGAGCGGCAGCGCTCCGCCGTCGGTGGAAGGGTCGATCTTTGCGATGGGTAATTTCCCTGGGTTTTCTTTCAACCGTCAATTTCTTGGCGCCGATGCGCTGGGGAATCAGCTGGGTGCCGGGGCTGACGGCGGCGGCGGCGGCGGTGGCGGAGCAGCCGCTGCGATTCAGCTTCAGCAGCAGCAACAGCTTCAGCTGCAGATCCAACAGCAGCAGCAGCTGCAGAAGCAGCGGGACGCGCGGAAGCTTCTAGATCGATTGCAGGACGAGGAGGCTTTAAGAGCCGATCCGGGTTATTTGGAGTACTATTACCGCAACCACCACTTAAACCCCCGCCTTCCGCCGCCGCTTATTTCCCGAGATACTTACCGCCTGGCGCAACGGTTACAGTCTTCCGCCGCGCTAGGGCTCGGCGGAGAGGGTGCGCCGAAGTTCCCCGGCGGCGGAGAAGGCACGGAAAGCGGCGGAGGGGGGTATGCGCAAGGGGGCGGGGGGGGGTATGAGATCCGCGCGGGGCTTGGTCAAGACGGTATCGCGGGGGCGTTTGGGGAGGATGGCGCGGGGATGGGCTCGCTACGACCGTTCGATGACGGGCATGGGTTGCGAACGGGGCGATCCTCGTCGTCCAATCTGTTGTTTCCGCCGACCACGCTCCCCACTCATCGGGAGGAGATGGAGAGTCTGTTAGAGGATGTGCTTACTTCGGGGGGAAATGACAGCGGCGACGGGAGCGCGCAGGGCACCGGCACAAGCGCAAGCGCCGGCGGAGGCGGAGGCGGTGGGGCGGGGGGAGCTGGCGCGGAGAGGGGCGAGGGTGTGGCAGACAGATGGGGCGCAGCGGGCGTTGGGGCCGGAGGATTTGCGGGGTTGGCGTATCGGCCTAAGAGCCTCGTGGATCTTATTCAGGTTAGTTGTACGTTTAGCCTGCCTTGTTAGCCTCTAGCCTCTCAAGTAATGTACCCTCACAATAACGCGTGTTTACTGTTGAATATGTTGTGGTTAAGTCTTGATCTATTCTCCCGCGCCTTACCTTCCGCGTACCTCGTCCCCGTTCCCGGCTCTGCAGGAGGACTTTCCCCGCACGCCCTCCCCCATCTTCGCGCTTCAGCGCGCAGCCAGCCGCTCAGGCGCGGACGATTCCGCGGACGCCGCCACCGCCGCCGCCGCTGCTGCCGCCGCCGCGGTGCCGTCTTTCCTCAGCGCTTCCGCCAATGACCTTCCGCGGCGCCCGCGCTCGTCTCTGCAGCTTGACGACGCGCACAGGCACGAGCTCGCGCTGCTCACCGCGGGGCTGCAGGCGGGCGGAGGCGCAGGCGGAGGGGGGGGAAGGGGCGCGGGGAACACGCGCGGAGGGGGCGCGAGTAGCGTTCCGCCGCTCCTTGGCGCAGGGTCGCGTTCGGGGACTCCGCTTATCCCCCCCGGATTGGTCGCGGGGAGGGTTAGCCCGGGACTGGCGATGCAGCTAGCAGCGGCTCAGGCAGCTTCGGCTGCCAAACCTGCGGGTCTGCCTCGGGCGCAGTCCCCAGCCTTTGGAGTAGGTCTGGGTTTGGGCGGTGGGGAGGGAGGCTTGGGGGGGGCGGGCGGAGGGGGGAGGGGAGGGGCTGGCGCGGGGGTGTTTGCGCGGGCGGCTAGTCCTGGGATGATGGGCGGGCAGGGGGAAGGGGGAATGGGACAGGCTAGCGCTGCTGAGCTGGCATCGGCGATTGAAGGGCTGCGATTGGCGGAAGGGCAGCAGCAACAGCAGCAGCAGCAGCAGCAGATGCAGATGCAGCAGCAACTGCAGCAGCAGTATCAGCAGCAGCAACAGCAGCAACAGGAGAAGGATCAGCAGCAGCACTTATTGCAGCAGCATCAGCAGCAACAGCAGAACATGGGTCAAGGAGCCCCTCATTGGTCACACCTCCCCACCGCACTCCACCCAGCGTATCTCCAATACCTCCCTCCTTCCTCCGCAACCAACCCCCCCACCTCCGCCGCCGCCGCCGCCGCCGCCGCCGCTGCAGCAGGCGCAGCATCGTTCGTGGTAGGGTCTCCCCCTTACCCAACCTTCCTACACGAATCCCTCCCCCTTCCGCCGGGTTCCGCCAGTTCCGCCGGTTCCCCCTTCCTGCCCCCGCACCTTGCTGGCGGGGCAGGCGCGCCTGGCTTCCCCCACGCGGTTCCCCCTGGCGGAGCAGGGGGAGTCTTGCCCGGGGGAGGTTTATCTGGAGGGGCTGTAAACGGGTTTTATCTGTCAGGGGGAGCAGGTGGGGGTGGTGGTGGTGGTGGTGGGGGTGGTGGCGCTGCTGCTGCTACTGCAGGAGCGGGTGGGGGTGGTGGTGATGGTGGTGGGGGTACTGTTTCACTAGACGCCAACGCGCAGCACTATCTGCCAAGCGAAGCCGCCCAGTTCGCCGCTGGCGGTGCTGGCGGTGGGGGCGCCGGTCCAGCTGGCATGAACAGTGGCATTGGGCGGTCAGTGAGTGCGGGCGGCGGGGTGAGGCGGGTCGGGGCGGCAGCATCAGGGGAAGGTACAACTGCTGGTGTGGGCACGGGTACTGGTGGTAACACTGGTGCTAATATGGGGGGCGCTAATATGGGGGGTGCTGCTGATTCAATGTTACCCCCTGAAGTGCAGCACCTACTAGCCATGCACCCGCAGTACAGAGCACAGATCCTTGCAGGTTTATCTGGGCTGGGTGTGTCCGGGGGCGGGGGAGGCTTATCTAGTGGAGGGTTTACCGGGGGAGGAGGTATGGGAGGGGGTATGACTGGTGGTGGTGGCGGTGGTGGTGGTGGTAATGGTGGTGGGGGCACTAGTGCTAGTGGGCTTGCCGCTGCTGCAGCAGCAGTAGGAGGAATGGGCATGGGTATGAACATGGGTATGGGTATGGGGTCGGGTCCCTCTGCTTATCTCCCCGGGGGCAGCCAGCCATTGGGGATACCTGCTGACGTGGCGCGATCCCGCGCCGCCGGCCTGCCAGCTGGCGCTCCGCTCGGCGGCAACAACAACAACCCTCCGATGTACTATGGAAGCCCTCCAGGAAGCTTCCTCCCTGTGATGGCCTACCCGCCTTTATCTCCTGCTAGTGGGGGAGGGGCGGGCGGAGGAGTGGTGCCAGCTGGCATGTTGCCACATCAGCAGGGCAGCATGCTGAGTCAGCATCACCAGCACGGGCACCATGCGAATCTGTACGAATCGATGCTATTGGCTGAAGGAGGGCTGGGGGGAGGGATGGGGCCGGCTGGGGTTGGGGGCGGGGGAAGCATGATGGGGGGAGGGGCAGGGGGAGGCGGAGGGGGCGGAGGAAAAGGGGGAGGTTACGCCATGGGCGGAATGAGCGGTGTGGGGGGAGCAGGCGGGGGAGCAGGGGCAGGGGGGAGCGGGAGGAGAGAGGAGAAAGGCGGAGGTGGGGGACTGAGGGGCTCACCTGGGGGAGGGGGTGGGGGAAGAGGTCACAATATGCATCAACATCAGCACCATCACCACCATCAGCATCAGCAGCATCAGCAGCAGCACCACCACCATGCTTCTCACCTGGCTGAATCTGAAAGGATGGGTGGCGGAGGGGGGGGCGGAGGGGGAGGCGGAGGGGGAGGAGGCGGGGGAGGGAACAGAGGCAGCGGTAACGGTGGTGGGGGAGGGGGAGGAGGAGGCGGAGGAGGAGGGGGAGGGGGGGCTGGAGGGGGAGGGGGAGGGGGAGGAGGAGCGGGGAGTTTCTTGGAGGAGTTTAAGGCAAACAAGACGAGGCGATATGAGCTGTGTGACATTGCAGGGCACGTGGTGGAGTTCAGGTGTGTTGAGGGGTGCGGAGCGGTGTTCAGGGATGCTGGTGATTGGTGAGTGTTGGAGTGCTCGCTGTGTGACATTGCAGGGCACGTGGTGGAGTTCAGGTGTGTTGGTGTGTGGTGCTCACATGCTGCTGACTGGTGCTCACACGCTGCTGACTTGTGCTCACATGCTGCTGAGTGGTGCTCACATGCTGCTGAGTGGTGCTCACATGCTGCTGAGTGGTGCTCACACGCTGCTGACTTGTGCTCACATGCTGCTGAGTGGTGTTCACATGCTGTTGACTGGTGCTCACATGCTGCTGAGTGGTGCTCACATGCTGCTGACTGGTGCTCACACGCTGCTGAGTGGTGCTCACATGCTGCTGAGTGGTGCTCAGAGGTGCTCTGTAACCTCTTTTCCCTATCCCATTCTTCTCTTCTCAGCACTTCTCTCGTCTCTCTTTCCCCTCTTGCATTCTCCCAGTGCGGACCAGCATGGCAGTCGGTTCATCCAGCAGAAGCTCGAGATGGCCACGGATGCAGAGAAGAGAAGGAGCTTGTGTTCTGTGAGGCGCTGCCACAGCAGGGGCTAGCCAGAGCGTTACCAACCCGTTTCTGCTTTTCCATGCTTCGGTTGTTTTCCTATTTCCCTCACTCGCAGCGCTGACCAGCACGGGTCGCGGTTCATCCAGCAGAAGCTCGAGATGGCCACGGATGCAGAGAAGGAGCTCGTGTTCTGTGAGGTGCTGCCGCGCGCTCTCTCCCTTATGACGGACGTGTTCGGGAACTACGTGATTCAGAAGGTGCGTGTGTGGGGTCAAGGGGGGATAGAGGGCGGGAGAGGGAGTAAGGGGGGAGCAGTGAAGGAGAGAAGGAGTGAAAGAGTCGGTGTTCTGTGAGGTGCTGCCTCGCGCTCTCTCCCTCATGACAGACGTCTTTGTGAACTACGTGATTCAGACGGTGCGTGTGTGGGGTCAGAGGGGGTTGGAAAAGGGAAGGAAGGGGAGGGGGGGGAGTGGGTTAAATGCAGAGCAGATAAGGAGAGCAGGAGAGAAGCGACTTGGGCTCTGTGAGGTGCTTCTGCTCGTGCATGTCTGTCTGCACTCTCTCATCCTCCCCACCCCTCGTCCTTCCCCCTCTTCTCTCCGCGCTTTGTTCGTCCTCCTTCCCTCCCTCTCAGTTCTTCGAGCATGGCCTGGACTCGCACAGGCCGGCACTGGCAGCGGAGCTAAAGGGGCATGTGCTGGCGCTTTTTGAGTCGACTCATAACTCGCCTAGCAGCGGAGCTAAAGGGGCGTGTGCTGGCTTTGAGTGTAATATCGCAATCCCTCTTCCCCTCACCCCTCTTTCCCTCTGCCCCCACTCAAACCCCTCTTCTCTCTTCTCCGCAGTTCTTCGAGCATGGCCTGGACTCGCACAGGGCAGCACTGGCAGCTGAGCTAAAGGGGCACGTGCTGGCGCTGGGGCTGAATTCAGCAGTGCAATTCCGCTATCCCCCATCCCCTATCCCCCTTGCCTCTGTCCCCTTCTTTCTCTTCTCTCTTCTCCGCAGTTCTTCGAGCATGGCCTGGACTCGCACAGGGCAGCACTGGCAGCGGAGCTAAAGGGGCACGTGCTGGCGCTGGGGCTGAATTCAGCAGTGCAATTCCGCTATCCCCCATCCCCTATCCCCCTTGCCTCTGTCCCCTTCTTTCTCCTCTCTCTTCTCCGCAGTTCTTCGAGCATGGCCTGGACTCACACAGGGATGCACTGGCATCGGAGCTCAAGGGGCATGTGCTGGCGCTGGGGCTGCAGATGTATGGCTGCCGGGTCATTCAGAAGGTGAGAGGTGGTGGTGTGATGCGATTTGATGCGGTGCTGAGGGGCTGAATGTGGAGCCTGAAGGGGCATGTGCCGGCGCTGGGGCTGCAGTTGTGCGGGTGCCGGGTCATTCAGAAGGTGAGAGGTGAGAGAGGGATGTAAGGAGAGGGAGAGGTGGGGAGGGAAGGGGAACGAGTTGAGGAAAGAGAGGCGAAGGTAGAGGGGAGAAGGGGGAAAAAAGGAGGAGAGGGAAGGATGTGTGCTGGTTCTGGGGATACGGATGTGTAATTGACATTTGAGAGTTGTCGATTGTAGGGGTGCCCGAGCTAGAGGGCAGTGTGATGGGGTGTATGTGTGTGCAAGCAGTGTGTTTCTGATCTTCTTCCTTCCCCTTGCTGTTCCCCATACCATATCCACAGGCACTGGAGGTGCTCCCTCTTCCGCAGCAGCTGGAGATCATCGCAGAGCTAGAAGGCAGTGTGATGCTATGCTATGTGATGCGGTGTGACGCGGTGTGATGCGGTGTGTGAGCTATCAGTACTGCGACTAGTCATTTCAGCCCTCTCCTTCTCTCTCACTGCTCCCTACCCCTTCAGGCACTGGAGGTTCTCCCCCTGCCGCAGCAGCTTGAAATCATCGCAGAGCTGGAGGGCAGTGTGATGCGGTGTGTGCGCGACCAGAACGGCAAGCAATGTGTGTCTGTTCCTCTTTCTTCCCCTTGCTGTTCCCCATACTTCCCCCATCAGGCCTTGGAGGTTCTGCCTCTTCCGCAGCAACTGGAGATCATAGCCGAACTCGAGGGCACTGTGATGCGGTGTGTGCGCGACCAGAACGGCAATCATGTCATTCAGAAGTGCATCGAGTGTGTGCCGCCCGCTCATATCGCCTCCATCGTCAACAGCTTCTACGGCCAAGTCGTTGCGCTCTCAACCCACCCGTATGGGTGCCGGGTTATCCAGGTGAGTAGAGGGGCTTTCAGGTGAGTAAGCCACCCCACCAGGCAGGCTTGTGCACTCACCAGAAGAAGTGCATCGAGTGTGTGCCGCCCGCCCACATCGCCTCCATCGTCAACAGCTTCTTCGGCCAAGTCGTTGCGCTCTCAACCCACCCGTATGGGTGCAGAGTTATCCAGGTGACAAGAGAGCCGTTCAGAGTGTGCTCTTTCCTGCAGGTTGACTTTTGAGAGCACATTGAGCACGGTTGCCCAATGTCGACTCAAAAGTCAATTCCTGCAGGTTGACTTTTGAGAGCACATTGAGCACGGTTGCCCAATGTCGACTCAAAAGTCAATTCCTGCAGGTTGACTTTTGAGAGCACATTGAGCACGGTTGCCCAATGTCGACTCAAAAGTCAATTCCTGCAGGTTGACTTTTGAGAGCACATTGAGCACGGTTGCCCAATGTCGACTCAAAAGTCAATTCCTGCAGGTTGACTTTTGAGAGCACATTGAGCACGGTTGCCCAATGTCGACTCAAAAGTCAATTCCTGCAGGTTGACTTTTGAGAGCACATTGAGCACGGTTGCCCAATGTCGACTCAAAAGTCAATTCCTGCAGGTTGACTTTTGAGAGCACATTGAGCACGGTTGCCCAATGTCGACTCAAAAGTCAATTCCTGCAGGTTGACTTTTGAGAGCACATTGAGCACGGTTGCCCAATGACGACTCAAAAGTCAATTCCTGCAGGTGCGCTCCCCAGCAAGCAGCACGCCCGCCCGCATTGCCTCCATCTTAAACAGCTTCTACGGCCAAGTCGTGGCCCTGTCCATGCAATCCTAAGGCTGTCCATGCAAGTCGTGTATCCACTTTCACATATGTCCACCTGTGCTCATGTCTGTCTGTGTGCTCCTACCCTTAACCCCTCTGTCTCACAGCGAGTGCTGGAGCATTGCACGGAGGAGCAGAAGCAGAGAGGCGTGATGGATGAAATCATGCGGTTTACTTGTGCCCGTAGTGTGCTTATGTCCACCTGTTCTTATGTCTTCATGTTCTCCTCCTCATCCCTGTTGTGTATCACAGCGGGTGCTAGAGCATTGCACGGAGGAGCAGAAGCAGAGGGGCGTGATGGATGAAATCATGCGGTCAACGTGTGCTCTAGCCCAGGACCAGTACGGCAACTACGTGGTGCAGGTGGGTGCTGCTGGGCTTGTGTGTGGTGCAGGTGGGTGCTGCTGGGCTTGTGTGTGGTGCAGGTGGGTGCTGCTGGGCTTGTGTGTGGTGCAGGTGGGTGCTGCTGGGCTTGTGTGTGGTGCAGGTGGGTGCTGCTGGGCTTGTGTGTGGTGCAGATGGGTGCTGCTGGTTTTGTGTGGAGGCCACTCCATGTTGGGTTTTTATGGGGCATTGGGTGACATCAATGGTCTACCTGTGGCCTAGCAGAGGACCAGTACGGCAACCACAACGCGCAGTACGCATCTCCTGTCGTTTTCCCCTTCTCCGCCTATCCTTCTACCTCTCCCTCCCTCTTCTCCCCTCTCCTCCTGCCGGTCTCCTTATCCCCATATCTTGTCCGCCACCATTCATACCATTTGTCCGCCACTCTCCCCCCTACTGTGCTTTTCAATAGCACGTCTTGGAGCACGGGAGCGAGGACGAGAGGAACGTGATTATAACGAAGCTGGCGGGGCAGATAGTGACGATGAGCCAGCACAAGTTCGCCTCCAACGTGATTGAGAAGTGCCTGCAGTACGGCGGGCCGGCTCAGAAGCAGCTGCTCTTGTCGGAGATGCTGGGGAGAACGGATGAGAACGAGCCTCTTCAGGTGCGTTATGGGCACGATGTGGGCACACTAGTGACAAGTGGCATGCAAGGGGCTGCCAGCACAAGTTCGCCTCCAACGTGATTGAGAAGTGCCTGCAGTACGGCGGGCCGGCTCAGAAGCAGCTGCTCTTGTCGGAGATGCTGGGGAGAACGGATGAGAACGAGCCTCTTCAGGTGCGTTATGGGCACGATGTGGGCACACTAGTGACAAGTGGCATGCAAGGGGCTGCCAGCACAAGTTTGCATCCAACGTGATTGAGAAGTGCCTGCAGTACGGCGGGCCGGCTCAGAAGCAGCTGCTCTTGTCGGAGATGCTGGGGAGAACGGATGAGAACGAGCCTCTTCAGGTGCGTTATGGGCACGATGTGGGCACACTAGTGACAAGTGGCATGCAAGGGGCTGCCAGCACAAGTTTGCATCCAACGTGATTGAGAAGTGCCTGCAGTACGGCGGGCCGGCTCAGAAGCAGCTGCTCTTGTCGGAGATGCTGGGGAGAACGGATGAGAACGAGCCTCTTCAGGTGCGTTATGGGCACGATGTGGGCACACTAGTGACAAGTGGCATGCAAGGGGCTGCCAGCACAAGTTCGCCTCCAACGTGATTGAGAAGTGCCTGCAGTACGGCGGGCCGGCTCAGAAGCAGCTGCTCTTGTCGGAGATGCTGGGGAGAACGGATGAGAACGAGCCTCTTCAGGTGCGTTATGGGCACGATGTGGGCACACTAGTGACAAGTGGCATGCAAGGGGCTGCCAGCACAAGTTCGCCTCCAACGTGATTGAGAAGTGCCTGCAGTACGGCGGGCCGGCTCAGAAGCAGCTGCTCTTGTCGGAGATGCTGGGGAGAACGGATGAGAACGAGCCTCTTCAGGTGCGTTATGGGCACGATGTGGGCACACTAGTGACAAGTGGCATGCAAGGGGCTGCCAGCACAAGTTCGCCTCCAACGTGATTGAGAAGTGCCTGCAGTACGGCGGGCCGGCTCAGAAGCAGCTGCTCTTGTCGGAGATGCTGGGGAGAACGGATGAGAACGAGCCTCTTCAGGTGCATTATGGGCACGATGTGGGCACACTAGTGACAAGTGGCATGCAAGGGGCTGCCAGCACAAGTTTGCATCCAACGTGATTGAGAAGTGCCTGCAGTACGGCGGGCCGGCTCAGAAGCAGCTGCTCTTGTCGGAGATGCTGGGGAGAACGGATGAGAACGAGCCTCTTCAGGTGCGTTATGGGCACGATGTGGGCACACTAGTGACAAGTGGCATGCAAGGGGCTGCCAGCACAAGTTCGCCTCCAACGTGATTGAGAAGTGCCTGCAGTACGGCGGGCCGGCTCAGAAGCAGCTGCTCTTGTCGGAGATGCTGGGGAGAACGGATGAGAACGAGCCTCTTCAGGTGCGTTATGGGCACGATGTGGGCACACTAGTGACAAGTGGCATGCAAGGGGCTGCCAGCACAAGTTTGCATCCAACGTGATTGAGAAGTGCCTGCAGTACGGCGGGCCGGCTCAGAAGCAGCTGCTCTTGTCGGAGATGCTGGGGAGAACGGATGAGAACGAGCCTCTTCAGGTGCGTTATGGGCACGATGTGGGCACACTAGTGACAAGTGGCATGCAAGGGGCTGCCAGCACAAGTTCGCCTCCAACATGATTGAGAAGTGCCTGCAGTACGGCGGGCCGGCTCAGAAGCAGCTGCTCTTGTCGGAGATGCTGGGGAGAACGGATGAGAACGAGCCTCTTCAGGTGCGTTATGGGCACGATGTGGGCACACTAGCGACAAGTGGCATGCAAGGGGCTGCCAGCACAAGTTTGCATCCAACGTGATTGAGAAGTGCCTGCAGTACGGCGGGCCGGCTCAGAAGCAGCTGCTCTTGTCGGAGATGCTGGGGAGAACGGATGAGAACGAGCCTCTTCAGGTGCGTTATGGGCACGATGTGGGCACACTAGTGACAAGTGGCATGCAAGGGGCTGCCAGCACAAGTTTGCATCCAACGTGATTGAGAAGTGCCTGCAGTACGGCGGGCCGGCTCAGAAGCAGCTGCTCTTGTCTGCAATGCTGGGAAGGACAGACGAGCACGAGCCGCTGCAGGTATGTGGGGTACATTAGGGCAAAGCAGGGCACACTAGTAATGAAGGACCGTTTGGTAACTATGTCGTTCAAAAGGTGCTGGAGACATGCAGCGAGGGGCAGAAGGGCAGAGTTGTTTGCTCTCATGCCCTGTCATTCCCTCAGTGCTCTCCCAATCTCCACCCATCTCTACCCCTCTCCCCCATTTTCTCCCCCTCCTTCCACAGGCGATGATGAAGGACCAGTTTGGCAACTACGTGGTGCAGAAGGTCCTGGAAACGTGCAGCGAGGGGCAGAGGGAGATGGTGCTGGGGCGCATTCGCGTGCATCTGCACACACTCAAGAAGTTCACCTATGGGAAGCACATCGTTGCACGCGTGGAGAAACTTCTGGCCGCTGGAGGTGAGCCTAAGATCACTAGGATAGGATGTAGGTGGCAAGTAGGTGCCACCTACATCCTATCGTACAAACATGAACTTGAATGAACTTGAAGAGCAGCTGGTCACACTGTGTGTTCACTTGTGACATCGAGTGCACGGTGAGTGCATACTTTGCAGTGCTGGTCCTGACAACTGTGCTCCCAATGTTTGCCAAGACCAGCACTGCAAAGTCTGCACTCACCGTGCTTTTGATGTTACAAGTGTGAACACACAGTGTGTGCGGCTGCTGTTCCAGTTCATGTTTGTACTTGCCACTGCTTGTTAGTCTGTTTCCACGGGGCACATAAGTGAGCATGTGCATGTCGGTGTGCAACCGCGTGCATCTCGTACGCTGCTCTCGAGAATTCTCAGCATCCTGCTTCTGTGTCCCACGTTTTCTGTCCCACTCCCTCCATGTATCCCTCCACCACTCCCTCCCCTCAGGCCGTATGCAATCTCGGGCAGAGAGAGAGCGGGTGATGGCACCCTCCTACTCAGGACCAGCTGGGGGAGGTTTCACTGGTGCAAGCTTTTCCAGTGGAGGGAACGTTGCAGGGTTGGGTTCAAGGTCCGGCGGCTCGGTTTCTAGTGGTGCAGGAGGGGCGGCCGGACAGGCTGGCGGCATGATGAACTCCTCTGTGGTTGGTTGAGCCTTCAGCTGGATTGACTGCTGTGATTGGTTGTTGTGGTATGGTACATGTGCTGTGCATTGTGTCTAAAAGGTTGATGTGAGTGTATGGGATGCGGATGGGTTTTTCCTGCATATAAGGCTGATGGTGTGGAGGCTTGAGAGGGTGGTTGGTTGCGTTGCATGTGTATCTTTGTTGATAATTTCCCGCCAAGCAGCCTTGAGGTTGCATGGTGGGGAGTGTGGACGGTTCGTGGGTTGGCCTTGCACTTCGTGTAGATGGATTTTTTTGTAGGAATTGATCGAATGTGTACATTCATGTGAATGCCTTGATGTAGTCATAATTCAGTACTTTTTTGTATTCCGTTACTGATTCATCTTTACCAAGTAATTTGTGCCACTGTATTTCGCTTGTGGTTCGAGCTCTGTCTCGTGTGTGATTGGTCGAAGCCGCTTTTCTGGGATCGAGGATTTGCGCCGCAACTCCCGCTAACTTGGGGAGGTTATCGTTTGAACCCGAGGCTGGGGTTGTGAGGTGGAAACTGGAATTGCCCCAAGCGAGTCACCTTATCCCCTGGGCGCAACTTTGGGGGACTTCCATCCCCCCAGGGGATAAGGTGACCACATTCCCCGCCCATCAAAGCCTCAAAAGCAGCCAGTAAAAAGGGGGGAAAACTCATGGCTAGAGAAGTTTTGTGTGCCCGTGAAAGGAGAGTTGCGACATGATGACTTCGTGATTGGTCGATTGACACATGAAAACGGTTATTCCTTGGGGTGACAAATTGCCCACACTGGCTTTTATGTCCTTACTTCCTCCGTTGCCCTCCGCACATCGCAAAAGGAGCTCATCTTTGTGAAGTGAAGCGGTCAAGTACGATCTTGTGCAACTTGGAGCAGTTGCGCACTTCACCGTTTGAAACCGAAATATAACAGGCTGAACATTTGTATATGAACTGTAAACAGACTCTCGTGTGACCAGCCATAACACTCCTCACTTCGAGGGTTTCGAGGACTGCCCACCAACCTCACCCTCTCGTTGAACCGAAACCTGATGGGTGGGAAAAGAAAGGAAGAGCTAAGTTTTTCCGGGGCCATCCAGAGGAAGCAATAACAGAATGTGTATCAACAATTTGATAGTTCTTGACCCTGTGCGAGTGATACACTGATATTCCTAACCAGTTGAGCTCTACCTCCGTTATCTACACCCAGTTCTGAGGACTTCGCAAGTAATTTTCGCTGACCGGATAATGAAACCCCAGGAAGGGCAAATCACCAGCCAGTCGAGGTCCTGTCCTGGGGCACTTGATCTCTACTCCCTACCTGCCGCACAACAGACCCTCTCTCCTAGGGTTTCTCTCGTCCATCTCCCCTTTCTTCAACATCTCTCCATAACTTGTTTCTCTCAGCAATTCCCCAACTTCCCAATAGACCCCATGCGCACAAGTTAGCCTACTTCCAAATTACCTTGTTGAATTCTACCCTTGATTCTGCTGGTGAGCTCACCCAAATATGATGCGAGGGGGACCATACGGGTGGAGCCTTCCCGAGGAGCCATTGCCAAAGCTCGGTGGGAGGTAATAATTCGCCTCGCTAGAAATTCTCACACCTTTCCATCAGCTCTTGTCGACTCCTGCTGGCATATGCCGGTGTAGCTGTTCGCGGATTTCATTCATTTTTAATATCAACTATTATTTTCTGTTCGTATATTTTTTCCTTCAGCCGGCAAGGCACGCGCGAGAGACTATTCGACCGCGACGACCAGAGCCTCAAGTACAAGGGAGTGCAGAAGCATGTGCGCGGCTGGCTCGTCAAGTACGCGTCGCGCGGCAAGACCGTCGTGCTGGGCGTTCGTCCGACGCAAGAGGAGGCGGCGTCGCTCTATGACAAGTGCGGCAATTCTTGTATTCTCATTAGCACTAGATATTCCACCGCGACAGTTATTGCTGCACTCTATCTCTCATGTGGTATTCTGCCGTCCCTCCACGCGTCGAAACCGTCATTTACCGTTCTCCTCTTTCTATTCTCGCCTCTGCACCCCGTTGTTTATTTCGTTTCGATCCACGGCAGGTTCGCCTACAAGGTTCACGGCAACGCCGAGACGCTCAATCTCGGTCTCACGCTCGCCGAGAAACGAGCCCTAGACGCTCTCTCCGACCGCGAGTTCCTCGCCATTATAAAAAAGGACAACTTTAATCTAAGCTTCCGTAAAGGATGGAGTTCGAATTACATCGGCGTGAGCTGGTACGAAGACTATGGCGGATGGGTGGCGCAGGTGAACATGGGGGGGATCACGCGGAAGATCAAGCGGAGCAAGACGGAGGAGGTGGCCGCTGCGGCCGTCGATCGCGCGCTGCTGCGACGCGACGGCGACCGTGCGATCACCAACGCGATGATCTTCGGCGGGTGTATCAAAGTCGAGACGCTCATGGACCTCGAGGGGCTGCGCGACGCGGTGATCCTGTCGCGAGTCGCCGAGATGGAAGGTGCGTGCGACGAAGCTGTTGTGACTTATGGTCTAGTTTGTTTGGCTTCTCCTTTCCCAGCTGCCCTCCCTCTCACCCACATGGTTCAGTTATCGCAATATCTCTTTTCCCCCCTCTTCCCCCTCCCCCCCTCCCTCCCCTTCCCCCTTCACGCCGTCCTTTATCGTTTTCCTTCGCAACCCTTAGCCTCCCTTTCTTTTCGTTATTGATAACGAAACACAAGTATTATGGTTAACCTGTTTGTTACTTCTACTTATTCTCACCCCCCTTTCTCTGTCCTTCCCAGGAGGAGCATCCGCCAAGTCGGTTTCCATCGTCGCTGCAACCCAGTTGCCTTCAGGTAACATGTCTATAACTGTTTTAAACAATCTATATGAAATTCTTGTTTACTTGGGCGCTCTGTCCGTTAGGATACCATCCGTTCATCTAGGTCTTTATCCTGATGGTGTGTGTGCGTGTCCGCTACTTGTGATTAATATGAATTGTCGTCCCGTGTCTTGTGTTTTTTTTTCTTCTTCTTCTTCTTCGTCTTCTGCTCTCTGCTTGCAGGTAGCGAGCTGGTGGCGGGGTGGGCGGGCAAGTTCTTGAGTCGACTCAAAAATAGGATTGCTCTTTCTTTCTTTCTTATTCTGCTCTCTGCTTGCAGGCAGCGAGCTGGTGGCGGGGTGGGCGGGCAAGCTCCGCTGGGGAGTGATGCACAACAAGGACAAGGGCGTGTGGGAGATGGTTCTCTATATCGGCCCCAAACCGTTTCTCCGAGGACGGACGCAGTTGGGAGACGAAGCCGCACGCCTCTACGACAGGTGCGTTTTCAGCTTCCCAGGCGAGTTAACAGGAGTGATGCAAAACAAGGACAAGGGCGTGTGGGAGGTGGTGCTCTGTATGGGTCCGTCTGCAGCTGGGAAGACTTTGAGTCGACTCAATAGTCGTCCAGGCGAGTTAACAGGAGTGATGCACAACAAGGACAAGGGCGTGTGGGAGGTGGTGCTCTGTATGGGTCCGTCTGCAGCTGGGAAGACTTTGAGTCGACTCAATAGTCGTCCAGGCGAGTTAACAGGAGTGATGCACAACAAGGGCAAGGGCGTGTGGGAGGTGGTGCTCTGTATGGGTCCGTCTGCAGCTGGGAAGACTTTGAGTCGACTCAATAGTCGTCCAGTCGAGTTAACAGGAGTGATGCACAACAAGGGCAAGGGCGTGTGGGAGATGGTGCTCTGTATGGGTCCGTCTGCAGCTGATAAGCTCACGTGTTCATGTGTGTGCCTACACCTGACCAAGGGCGGGTTCCACCTGCACCTCACGTGTTCATGTGTGTGCCTACACGTTCCTCCCTCCCTCCTACCTTATCCCTTCCTTACCCTCGGTATGCGCCCATGCCAGGATGGCCTACAAGTTCCGAGGCACGTCAGCAGTGCTCAACTTCGGGCTATCCGCTGCCGAGAAGCTGGAGTTAGAGCAAATGACCAAGGACGATTTCCACCTGCACCTGCGCAAGACCTTCGTCCGCAGCTTCCGCTCGCGATCCTGTCCGTCCATCTACAAGGGCGTGAAGTGGGGCCCGCAGGAGCAGAAATGGATCGCCGCAATCCGCGTGGGAAACCGGTTTTCTAAGATTGGATTGTATGACGCGGAAGAGGAGGCAGCTGCTGCTTATGATCGGACGATCGTGGAGGTCCGCGGGGTGCATGTGATGACTAATGCGAAGTTTGTGGACGGGTTGAACCACGCGCAGGTGACTGTAACGGAGGTTCCTATAAAGGGGCAGGAGGAGGCGTTTATCCGCGCGTCGGGAGGGGGGGTTGGCGGGGATGGGGGGAGAGGGGGAGGGAGAGGGGCGCGCGGGCGCGGGCGGGGGAGGGGGCGGCCGCCGATCACCCATCTAGCGCGGGAGGAGCGGAGGAACAGGCTGGTGGCGTCGTTGGGTGGTTCTGTCGAAGCAGCTAAGCTGGGGATAACCGGTGGTGATGGTCCCGGTGCTGCTGGTGATGGCGCTGGTGGTGCTGCTGCAGAGTTAGGAACAGGAGCGGGGGAAGGTGAAGGGGGAGGAGGAGAGGGAGAAGGAGGGGGGGAAGCGGCTGGGGATGCGTCTAGCGGAGGGGGTAAGGAGGAGGGGAAGGAGGAGTGGGTGCCGGCGCCGAGAGCAGAGGAGTTGGAGCAGATAGAGGAATGGATGGCGAATGAGTGGGAGCAGGGGGAGATTGTGGGGTGGATGGAAGGGGCTGCTCCTGGGAGTGACGAGAAGGGGTTGAGCACGCTTGTTCCTGCTGGCGCAGCTGGTGGTGGCGCTGCTGGTGGCGCTGGTGGTGGTCCTGGTGGTGGGGGGGAAGGTGGTGGGAAGGAGAAGGGGGAGGGCGAGGAGGAAGGGTCGTTGGCGATTGACTTGGAAATGGCTGGGCTAGACGATGGGGACGATGCTGCTGGTGGTGGGGAGGGCGGGGGGGATGCTGAAGGGGACTGGGATGAGTTTTGTGAGACAACAGCTAGGGAGGTGGCGGAAGGTGCAGGGAACGCTGACGGGGAAGGCGCTGGTGGGGACGGCGGGGCGGGGAAGAAGGGCGCGGGCGGGAAGGGTGGGGAAGTTGGGGCGGATGAGTTGGGGAACGCGCATGCATCTGTGGAGCAACTACTGGCTGCTGCGGAGGCCGGGCCTGGGGGCGGGGCGGGGGCTGAGGGGGGCGGCGCAGGGGGCGCGGGAGAGGGGGAGGGAGACGGAGAGGAGGATGGGGAGGATGATGTGATGTTGGAACTGAATGCAGATGACGAGGGGAATGAGGGGAGGGATGGAGGTGGTGGGGAGGGTGCTGGGGGCGCGCATGGGCGGGATTGGATGGATACTGTCGAAGGGGATGACGACAAAACGGAAGGAGAAGGGGGAGAAGGGGGAGGAGATGGGACTAAGACTCCAGCCAAGGGACCAGGGCAGGAGGGGGATGCAGGTGCAATAACCCCTGCTCAAGGCCCCTCCCGCCTCCCCCTCACCCCAGGCTCCGCCCCGTCCGCCCTCCAAATCAGCACCGTTTCCACCCTAGCCGCCCCTACCTCCTCCTTCGGTGCTCCAGATTCCTCTGGCTTACAGACTTACTCAGGGAAGAGACCCAGGGGGCGGCCAAGGATTCATGAGCATCCAGAGGAGGAGAAGAACAGGTTGTCTGAGAAGTATATGGGCGTGGAGTTTAAGGGGCGGACGCGGGCGTGGGAGGCGTTTCTGATGTCGGGGCAGCGGCGGTATAACTATGGGCAGCGGTATACAGAAGAGGAGGCAGCGCGGCTTCATGACAAGTAGGTTCTATGCTCTTGCTATGATCCTGCTATGCTTTGTGCTCCTTGTGTGCTCTTAGTGTGCTCCTTGTGTGCTCCGTTTCTTGATGTTCCAGTGTGGTTTTGAATGCAAAGCGGTTTTTAAGTCGACTCAGTCACCAGGCGGTAAAACCGTGGGCAGCCGGTGTACTGTGAACGAAGCAGCGTGATCTCATGACAAGTAGGGTCGAATGCTGTGTTTGCTGCTGGTTTGTTTACATCTTTCCCCATCTTCTTTCTTCCCATTCCTGTTCCACAGGGTGGCGTATCGCCTCAAGGGACCGACAGCCCCCACCAACTACTCTCTCGGGGAGGAGGACAAAGCTCGTCTCGGCTAAGTGACAGTCGAGGAATCTTCACAGGCCTCTCATTCTCTTCCTATTCCTGGTTGCTTCCCATTCCCGTTCCACAGGGTGGCGTATCGCCTCAAGGGACCGACAGCCCCCACCAACTACCCTCTCGGGGAGGAGGACAAGGCTCGTCTCGACTCAATGACAGTCGAGGAATTCTTAACCCACGTTCGCCGCACCAACGTCAGCAGCGTTTTTCAGGGACGGCGTGGCTCGTCCTTATTCAAGGGCGTGAGCTGGATGCCAGACAAGCAGCGGTGGGCGGCGCTGATCAAACTAGACCACGGAAAGGTGAGGAAGATCGGGTTATACACCACGGAAGAGGACGCGGCAGCAGCATACGATCGCGCTCTGATCGACCGCGACGGTCCAGAAGCTCTAACCAACGAGAGGTTTTTCCGGTCGTTAGACGACGATGCCTTAGACCGGTTGCTACAGTCGCGGCGGTCCCGAGACGAGAGCTGCAACTGGAAGGAACGGGCGAAGTATTTTCTCGATAATATCGAGAAGCTGGGGCATAAGTCGAAGAGGGCGAGGGCACCGTCCCCTGTGGGAGCGCGGGGACTTGTAGGAGGAGGTGTGGCGGGACCGGTGGGGTCGAGGGAAGGAGAGGAGGGGCCGCAGCCAGGGACCGTTGCTGCGCTGGGCGGGGGCGCGATTAGCTCTCAGAAGGTGTCGCAGAGTGCTGCTGCTGGGAGGAAGGGGCGTGGAGGTGGTGCTGCTGGTGGCGGGAGGTATGGGAGTGGAGGAATGGGGAGTGGGGGGTATGGGTATATGGGAGGGGGAATGATGGGTGGTGGGAGCGGGGTGATGGGCATGGGGGGTTATATGGGAGGTGGGGTCATGGGGGGGAATGTTATGGGGGCAAATGTAATGGGAGCGAATGTTATGGGTGCGAGTGTTATGGGTAGCGGTGGGGGGTACGGTCTGGATCGGTGGGGTCTGTACCCTTCCCCCATGGCTGCGTCAGGGCATCTAGCCCCTAACCAGCGGGGCATGCCGAGTTTTAACCCGGGAGGGGGTGGGTTTGCAGGCGCCGGGGGAGGGAGGAAGGGTGGAGCGGTTGGGAGTGGTGCTGCTGGGTTCAAGAGAGGCCGATATGATTTTGAAGATGATGAGGAGGATTTTGATGAGGATGAGGAGGGGTTTGGGGAGGGGTATGAGGAGGAGGGGAGAGGAGGTGGGGGTGGTGGGGTGGGACGGGGCAGGTGGGGGGGTGGAGCAGGATGGAAGAGGCAGCAGCAGGATCAGTTGTATGGGGGTGTGATGGGGGGTGGGATGGGGTCTGGTGCGGTTGGGATGGGTAGCAGCAGTCTTTACGGCTCTGGCTCTCGTGCTGGTGCTGCTGGTGGCGGTATTGGTGGTGCACAGCGTAAGAGGTCTCAACCCCACACCTCCTCTCCTGCCGAAGAAATTCTTCGTATGTACTCTGTAGGCCAGTCTGCACCAGGTGATCCTTCCCCAGGTGCAGACAAACTTGGGGCGGGCCGGCCGGCGCAGAGGGTTCTAAGGGACGTGGGAGGGGAGGAAGATGAAGAGCTGGAGGAGGATATGGTGGGAGGAGGAGGGGAGGAAGAGGAGGAAGCGGAGGAGGCGAGAGGGGGTGGATCCAGCCGTCGATTGGGCGATCTGATGACGAGGATCTCCGGCGCGCTATCTCAGCCGTTAGATGGGGAGGATGAGGAAGGGGGCGGGGGAAGGGGGATGGGTGGGGGGGACATGGGGGGAGAGGAGGAGGATGTGGTGGAGGTGAGAGGGAGAGGGAGGGGCAGGGGGAGGGGGAGAGGACGTGGGAGGGGTAGGTCAGGACGGGTGATGCCTGTTTACTGACCATTTTGTTTGTTTGTTTTACTGACCCCTGTGCTGAAGCATTGGATGGATATTGACCAAGTTTAGGGTTGCCAAAGATGCATCTCTGCCATGCACTCTTTTTGTGACTTTTGATGTCGCAAAGATGGATTATTTCCTCCCCTAGTGCTGCATCTCCGCATGGTGGCCCATCAGTGCTATCCAACCTCTTTTTGTCTCTTACTCCCCCTTTTTGTCCTGTAAATGATGGCTTTTATGTTCAAGGAATGCTAGTCATGTAAGGTACCAATAATGTACAGTCATAAAAGTTAAATAAGCCCCTCAAATTATACGGTAACGCACCTGGACTAGGGGCCAGGAGTGACTAGTCTACTGACAACACACAAGGAAGCAGCGCTTGCATTCCTTTCAAAGGGTATTCGAGCAACATTTGTCAGCCGGACCAAGCCTGCAGTTTCTCAGGCATGTTCCTCAGTACCTGCACCAAAGCCAACACCCCATGCACTACTGCAGCCAATCTGGCAGTCAAGCCAACTAGGGTAATATTCTACTTAACAGTCAATAGCGTGGAAGCCAGTACTTTCCCCCTCAGTCCCTCAGTCGCCTTGGTGCCAGCAGTTTTCGAGCATGTTACTCAGCACTTGAACCCACACATCCAGAGGCACGGGCATGCAGTAGTGCAGGCAGTCCAGCTTGGTCAGCAGCCCCGTGTGCCCATCCCACCTCTGCTTCCCCCGGTCAATCCCTTAACCTCCTCGGTGCCAGCAGTTTCTCGAGCATGTTGCTAAGGACTTGAACCCACGAGTCAAGAGGCCCGGGCATGCAGTAGTGCAGGCAGTCCAGCTTGGTCAGCAGCCCCGTGTGCCCATCGGGTCGCAGTGCTGTCATCCTTTCCACATCCATCATCGCCATCCCCAGCTGCTCCGCCATTGGCTGGGACAGCTTGTTCTGGTGCGGAAACTTGTCCCAGTTGAACGGGAGTTTCGACGGGTCCTGCGGCGTTTCGATTGGCTTGTGGTATTTCGGGCAGTCTACATGCCCGCCCGCGCTGTTCCGGTAGATTAGAAGCTTATCGGGGAACCGGTTTCGGAGGTATAAGAGTGTAGTGCGCAGATGCGGCTCGAAGTCGTTATCCTCTCTATAGTGTGGCCCGCGGTTCAGTATAATCGCGTCGGCGGCGGGAAGCACAGGCGCCCGGGTCCAAGCAAAATGCAGATACTCCCGAGGGTTCCCCAGCTGCAAATGATCGTTCCGGAGAAACACCATCCGCAACCCTGGGCAGACGGAATCACCAAAAGTCACGTCCCGGCAGAAAATTTTTGCGGCGGGCCCAATAACCCACCCGCTGCATTCTGGTGACTCTTCCCTTGTCTCGTTGAATTCAGAGGTGACAGGTTTTGGGACCCCCAGAAGCATGGAATCAACAAGTACTTGGAAGAGTTGGTGCTGCAGTGAGTCTCCCACAAAGACCAGGGTTCGATCGCGCCCCACTCGGTCGCAGAATCGGCGTGGATCGAAAGGTTTCCACGGCTGCTGCTTGTTGTTGCTACTGCTGCCTGCAACCCCTGGATTGAAATCTGACAGCTCCCTGCTGTTTCTGCTTCTGCTGCTGCTGTGGCTGAATCTATTTCCCCTGCCACCAGAACCAAAAAGACGCCGACGCTGAGAATCGAACCCTTCACCTTCCCCTTCCCCCTCGCCTTCATCCCCGTTATCCTCTTCAAGCAAATCACTTTCCTCCTCCCCCTCCTCTCCCTCCTCTCCCCCTCCTCCTGCTCCTCCTGCTCCTCCTGCTTCCTCCTCATACCTCTCCTCTCCCATTCCCACACTCGCCATATCCTCCTTATAATCACACTTGCCTTTAGGAACATCCCAAACATACTTCAATTCCCCCCGAATCTTCCATTCGCTAGGCGCACCCCCCCTCCTTACAACGTCATCTGCTTCATTCCCAGCTATCACCCCCTTTGTAGTCTCCATTGCTCTAGTATCACACGTGCCCAAGCCCTTGTAAGGCCACGGCAAAAATCTCGGCCGCCCGTCAAATTTCCACCGCCCCGCCTGCCCGACGCACGCTGCCCACGACCGAAAACTTTCAACCTGCCCGGATGTTCGAAGAACTGAACCCGGAATCACTTTCGTGAGATCTGGAACGGACAAACCCCAGTCTACCCCCTCCGATGTAGCCGCTGGTAGCATGGGCACGGCGGCAAGATTAAATTTTGCTGCTGCCCGTTCTTCCCTTCCTCGCAACTTCGCTTTACCGAGGCTCTTGATAGACTCTGTATAAGCAGCCTCACTTAAGTAAACGAATTGCGCTGCCCGATCCACCACCTCTTTCACATGGTCTAGGTCGCAAAATAATGGGGAGTTCTCGCCTTCAGCCCCTCCTCCAGACACGGCTGCCATTGCAGGGTCTACATCCGGTTCTTCCCCTCCAAAAGAGGGGCTAGTGCTGCAAACGGAGGTGTAATGCTGGAGTCTCAAAACGGAGGAGAGGGAGTAGGAGGGGAAGCGGAGGGCGGAAGGATGGCGCAGCTCCAGGACAAAAGTTGCCGGCCGCATGAAGATGGTGTGCATTAGGGTGCTGTCAGTGACTGTAATGAAAAGGGCTGTACGCGAGAAGAGGTTTCGCACTGTAGTATAAAAGGGAGGGAGCGGGGCGGGCAGGGAAAAGAATGGGAGAGAAGGTGAGAATTGGGGTTAGGGTGCTATTGGTAGGTGACTGAAGAAGAGTGCTGTAATGCAAAAACGCGTATCACACTGGAATGAGAAAACACTTGCTTTTCCCATACTCACATTCTTCTACAGACATGCTCGGGCAGTAGCTAGCAACGCGATGGGCAGGGAAATGCTGATGCACAACATTCCGTATCGCCTCCGCATCGGCCCGATTATGCAGCCCTTGCAAGCCCACCACCACCATCCAATCACTGGGTAGTGCCGCCCATGCCACCTCATCCTCCTCCAAATCCACGTCAAGCATGGGCAGCACGCCGGCCAAAAACGGCGTCGGGTAGCTCACAGAAAGTTTTTCCTTGCTGCCCGGATTCTGGGCAGCTTTCGCGTCGTGGATGGCTTGGGAGGAGGCTTGGAGGAATAGGTGGTGGGATTGGATGACGGAGGGGAGGGAGAGGGAGGCTCGGGGGGCGATGGAGGAGGCTCGGGGGTGGTACGGGTGGTCCGGGTTGAAGAGCGAGGTTCGGATGTCTCGCCAAACCGAGTGCTGAGGCTCGTCACAGTGCTCTGAGAGAGGCTGGATGAGTGACTCGGCGAACAGGAGAGTGTTGGGCGTGTGGAAAGGGAAAGGCGTCCATGGCATGTCGAAGTCTAAAATGCTGGTGAGCATTCGACGCAGCCCCTGTTGTGAGAGAGGGAATAGAGAGGGGGTGGGGAAGGAAGGGGGTGAAGAAAAGAGTGTTGGGCGTGTGGAAGGGGAAAGGCGTCCATGGCAGGTCGAAATCGAGAATGCTGGTCAGCATTTGACGTAGGCCCTGTTAAAGGGGAGGTTGTGATCGGGTGTAGTAGAGAGTGGTTGGGGAGGGAAACGGGCGGGGAGGTGGGTGTTGGGCGTGTGCAAGGGGAAGCGGGTCCATGGCAGGTCAAAATCGCAAAATGCTGGAAAGGCATGTGCCAGCATTTTTTTTTTTTTTTTTTTTTTTTTTCTGAGAATTACACAAAAGGCATGTGCCAGCAATTACCCAATTTCAAGGACGTCCCAAAACACGTGCCAGCAATTCCCCACTCACCCTGGAGGACGGCAGGGCCACGTGTGCGTCCTTGAGGGCGGGGTTCTTTGTCATCTTGCGCAGGACGTGCAGCAGCGGCAGCCTCTCAATGACCTGGTGGTACGAGCGCTGATCGCTCCGCGCCACCATCAGATTCACGACTGTCTGATGGGATACGACCGGAGCATCTTTGGGGTAGGCGAACTGGTGAAGGGGGGAAGAGGTGCGGGAGGATGGCGGAGCGAGAGTGAGTGAGCCTCAGCCTCTCGATGACCTGGTGGTACGAGCGATGGTCACACCTTGCCAAGTTGCCACCATCAGTTTCACCACTGTTTGATGGGATACAACTGGAGCGTCTTTGGGGTAGGCGAACTATAGAGAAGGGAGGCAGGGAGGGAGGAGGGACAAGAGGGGCAAGAGGGGCAAGAGGGGCAAGAGGGGCAGGAGGGGCAAGAGGGGCAAGAGGGGCAGCAGGGAAGAGCAAAAAGGGTGAGCCTCTCGATGACCTGGTGGTACGAGCGCTGGTCGCTCCGCGCCACCATCAGATTTACGACCGTCTGGTGTGAGACCGCAGGCGCGTCTTTGGGGTAAATGAACTGGCGAGAGGAAGGGAGGGAGGGAGGAGGGACAAGAAAGGAAGCAAGGAACGGCAAGTGATGGTAGCCTCTGAATGACCTGGTGCTACCATCAGATTCACAACTGTTTTATGTGGGAACACATTCGCCTCATCCATCCCCGTTACAAGCATACCTTGGCTTTCCAGTTGCAGCCGCCCGTGTCGAACAGGTGCGTCTTGTTAAACACCTGCCCGAAATGGTTCACAAACACGTCCCGCAAAACGAAAACCTGCCCGGCCCACTCCGCGCGCTCCTCCTCCGCGCCTCCCCCTCTTGCCCTCCGCATTACCCCCTCCGCGCCCTCCCCCTCCAGGGCCCAGCACCCCGAGCGCAGCAATTCCCCGGGTAACTTCCCACTCGCGTTCGCTACACAGGCTTCTAGAGGGTTGTTTCCGACTTTGTACCGTCTTGCCCGTAAAACTGTTGGAGGATAACTGATCGCGCCTGGAACTTTCTTCTTGCGAAAGAGCTGGTACACTAGGTCTTCCTGTTGACCAATGAGAGAGTTCGTCGCACCCATATACTCCTCGTGCCAACACGCGTCAATTTCTGGTTGGTAGCCGCCGCAAGGTTTTAAATCGGGGCATTTACCCGCTCCTTTGCAGATGTGCCATGAAGGAACTTTTTCCTTCTTGCCATTTTTTGGCTTGCCCGGCGGGTATTTAGTCCCGGGGGGATGTAACTGCGTCAACCTGTAGAATTTGAGGTTGCTCGAATGTATCGAAAATGGTAACTTTTGTCGCTGATGTTTCGCAACTGGCTTCGGAATCTTCGCCGCATCGCCAGGACTCGACGTCAAGCCGTCATCGGGACTCCACTCGTCGACAGCCTCATTCGCAACGCCGTCGCCAGCGTCGCCCGGCGACACTCTCTCCTGTCGCTGATGGTATCGCTCGCCCAAGGACCCGTCGCCGAAACCGTCGCCGTGACCGCCGAGAGCGTCGCCGAGGCTGTCGCCGAGATCTGCGTTTCGCACGAGATCAAGCAACGAGCTGGATCGTCTACGTCCTAACCCTAATCCTCCTGACGCTTCCTCCTCCTCCTCCTCCTCCGCTTCCCTTAACTGTTGCGCCGAGCTATCGTCAGGCGGAGGATAATCCGCGTCGTCCTCCTGTAACCGCCTCCTTCCGCCATGCCGATTGGTCGAGGAGTTTTCGCGAGCGGCAAATGCTTCGTCGCACGACGTCGCGAAGGAGAGGCAGTTCGCGCAGGTGACGAGGAGGAGGGCGACGAGGGGGAGAAGGAACAGACGAATCGACGGCGAGCAAGACGCTGGATTCTTTCCAAGCACGGTTTTACTCGATCGCGAGGGCCGGAAGATGCGCGACCTGTGGTTGCGGTGAGAAGTTGCCATGGCGGCGCCTTGAGGCTGGAGTATTGGCTAGTGCCTGTGCTTCCCCTGCTTCTGCTGCTGCCTCTGCTTTTCTCTTTGCTTTACCTGTGAAGAAGAATGTAGCTTGTGAAAAAAAAGCTGCGTATTAATCTCGAGATTGCAGGCGTCCCTGCCTTGCCACTAGGAGCCGCTCAACTAATCAATCCTGTTGTGCAACTCCAACAAAACTCTTGCCTGCGATGGAAGGATTATACGATGTCTGCGGATGGCTGGCAGGCTAACTGAGATAAAGCCAGGAATCGGCATTGGGCTTCACTACTAGGGGCCCATACTTTGGCAAGGTAGGTGTAGTCCAAATCCTGCACTCATTTTTCCAAATCAAATCCCACGGTTCTGCTCGGTTCTTTGCGTTACAATGTGGTGATGATCGAGAAACGCCTGATCTTGTGGAAGCCTGCTGAACCACACTGGGGGATCACCGGAGTAACGCACTGGATACCCCCTTTTACTGTTCGGTCTGGACCTACAGTGTGGGATCAATGGTTATTCAACGAAAAATTGTTGATTGCGGAGTTCAAATCGACAGCACTTCACTAGCCTTTACGTGGACGAAAGGAGAATTTCCGACTTTCGAGATCCACAAGGATTTCGGCGTTTGTTGCGGGCGTAGTTGGAAGGTCGTTATTTCGACAGGGTAACCTGAAGTGCAGGTACCACACTCTCAGCATGGTCCGTGATTGGTCAACTGACGCATGGGTAGTTGTGGCGAGGCGCGGGGACTTGCCACTAGAAGTGCTTCGCAAACAGTCGCCGAGGCTGGGAGTTACGTTCGCAGGGGGGCGGCAGGTGGTTTCGGGGGATGTCGCAAATATGCTGCCAACCTGGAAGTGTAGAGATTGACCACCTGGCGAAACGACTGGTCTGCAGGGCCTCCTACGACGTCGCAAGAGGAAATTGTACACCCTATCGCAAATTGATATTTTCGCAAAGGCAAACCAAGCACCGCCTTGAAGAATACGCGTTTCAAGCCAATGCGCTGAACATATGTGAGTCATAGTCAAGGTACTAAATGTTTGTTTGCCCCTTTCTGCACTTTTGCTAATCACGCACTGGAAATGCGGATGTTTGGCGCCGCAACATTCTAGGCAAGATTGAATTCGACTCGAATCTAGGTTCCTAGGTTCTTGGGTTGCCACCAGCTGGTCTGTCGACCATCTTCCTGCGTACAGATCGAACCACGATGCTCGCGACGGCGACGGCGTCGCGTCGCCAAGCGATGGCTCTTGCGGGTCACGCGCGGCACGGAATGACGTGGCCTTTTGCCTCTTCGAGGTAAACTGTAGCCTAGGTCTAGGAGGAATCATGGACGGATATTACTGTAGATGCTCGCCTCAAGTGTTTCTTTTCTTTTCCTTTCTTTGAGAAGCACTCGCCCTGCCTCGCGTATTTTGGGAAGCAAAAGAAAGAAGAAGAAAAAAGCTACTGACGCTGTATAACGTTGAAGCTAAGACGTGTCAAAAACCTTTCCGCACGTCCGCCTGGTGTGTTTTGAGTCGACTCAAAACACACCTTCGTCTCGTCCCTGCCGCCTTTAGTCTCCGGCCACTCCGCTATTTCCTCCTCCTACCGACCATTCCCGAGGCGCCTCAGCAACCATTCTCCCTTGTTCCGATTCCCCCCTCCCCGCCATTCCGCCTGCCAGGCTCCTCTCCTCCCTGGCTGGGCTGGACTTCGCTACAGTTGACCCCGCTTCGCTACAAGCCTCCAACTCCAAGATTTATAACCTCGGTAAAGCAGTTCTGACAGTGAGCGTTTGTCTCTATGATTCGTTGAATGGGAAGGACATGGTTTCGAATGGTGTGCACTGATATACTCGTCTTCCCTCCCCCCTCTCCATTCCCCCCTCAACCACCCCGTTTTCCTTGCCATTCCCCCTTGTTCGTTCCTCTTCCCTCTTTCCAGTGGGTGGGGAGTGGAGGGGCAGTGAGAGGAGTGCATTGGTGATTGATCCGTTGAACGGGAAGGACATGATTTCGGTACCCGACGCACAGGCGCACGAGATTCAGGTGTGAGGGGGATGTGAGCGGTGAGTGTGGGTGTGCGAGTATGTGGGTTTAAGCATGGAGGGTGTGAGTGTGAATAGGAAGGACATGATTTTGTGCCTGATACCCAGGCGCATAAGATTCAGGTGAGAGGGGGTGTTAGTGTGGTTTTGCATGTGTGAGAGTTTACACGGGAGTGTGTATGAGTGTGATTGAGTGTGTTGAGAAGGACATGATTTCTGTGCCAGATGCACAGGCGCATGAGATTCAGGTGAGAGTGGGGATGTGAGAGTGCGAATATGAGGAAGGTTATGTTTTTCGTGCCAGATGCACAGGCGCATAAGATTCAGGTGAGAGGGGTGTGAGAGTGGGTGTTCATTGGTGTGAGTTTGTATTCAGGTGAGGGGGATGTGAGAGTTGGTGTGCATTTGTGTGACTTTCTGTTGAGTGGGAGTGTGTGTGTGTGTGTGTGAGAGAGAGAGAGAGAGAGTCTGTGTGTGTGTGTGTGTGTGTGTGTGTGTGTGTGTGAGTGTGTGAGTGAGTGACTGTGATGAGAAGGACATGGTGCCCAATGGACAGGCGCATGCAATTCAGGTGAGGAATGAGTGAGGATGTGCATGTCTGTGAGTCTATTCATGAGTGCGTGTGAGTCTGATAGATAGAGAGGACAGGACTTCTTTTCCAGAGATTAAAATGAGAAATAATGTATGATTTACGTCGGATACAACACTCATTCTCTGGTTCTCCCACTCACCCATTTGCCAACAACCTCTCGCACCCACTGCTTCAGATCTGGTTGTCAATCTCACTGTTCTTTTTCCTTTTCCTGCCCAATACCTTTCTTTCATCTCCGTATTACCCCACAGCCATTCGTGGAGAGTCTTTCTAGCTGCCCCAAGTCCGGTTTGCACAACCCATTCAAGAACCCAAGCAGGTAAGCATGAAAGTAGTCCCACTTTTACACAGGAGAGTCAAAGTAAGAATGAAAGCAGGTGGACCCACTCAATCAGAAGCTACTCCAAGTAGATTCTTTGTGCCTTTATGCCATCCTGTGTTTCTTCTTGTTCTTGTTCCATATTCTCCCACCACAGGTATCTATCTCCTTGCCTCCTCTTCTCATCAACCCTTGTTCTCCTCCACACATTTGCCCCATCATACACTCGCTGTCCTCCCAGGTACCTTCTGTACGGCTCTGTCTCTGCTGCTGCTGCCAACGCCCTCAAGAAGCCCGAGGTGAGATGCAGGCGATCTGAAGTTGAGATGTAACGCGTCTCATTAATTTGTGCTAGTGATTTGGAGTTGTCGCTCGTCTCAGCGGGAGTCGCTTTGATGGGAAATCAACCCTCTCAAATTTCTTAAATTCCTCGTCTCCCATCTCTCATCCCTTTCCCCTTCTTTTTCAGGTCCCTGACTTTTTCGCTCCGCTCATCCAGAGGGCGTTTCCCAAGAGCCTTGCCCAGGCGATTCCCTGATGGAGACAAACCCTTTCAACCTCCCCAGGTTCCTCATTTTCCTTTGCCCTCTTCCCCTCCCTCCCTCCCCAGGTTTCTGACTTCTTTGCTCGTCTCATCCAGAGGGTCTCTCCCAAGACCCTCTTCCAGGCGACTCCTTCCCTGATGGAGAAAAACTCCTTCAAATCTTCCGCATGTTGCATCCTCCCCCTCCCTCCCTCCCCAGGTCTCTGACTTCTTTGCTCGTCTCATCCAGAGGGTCTCTCCCAAGAGCTTATTCCAGGCGCGGGCGGAAGTCTCAGTCACTCAGAAGTTTTTGGAGAACTTTTCTGGTGATCAGGTGGGCGGCAGGAGGTCAGGTGGGCGGCACCAGGAAGTCAGGTGGGCGGCACCAGGAAGTCAGGTGGGCGGCAGGGGGTTGATCAGGTGTGAGGGATTACATAGCGTGGGCATTGTTTGGACGCGACCCAACTGGAGGTTATAACCAACTGCCTTTCAGTCGACAAGCATTCATTCTTTCCCAGTCCAGAGCCATATTCTTCCCCTTTCTTTACTCCTTATCGCGCGCTCCCTCATTCCTCTTTCTTGTTTCCCAACCCCTTCCCCTGTCCTCGCCAGGTTCGGTTCCTGGCTCGGTCATTTGCCATACCTGGCGACCACACGGGGCAGACCAGCTCGGGACACAGGTGGCCCTACGGTCCGGTGAGTGCCAGATAACAGCTTGCCTACAGACATCGTGCTAAAAAATATATTGTCTAACCTTAGTAAAAAAAAGGGCATTTGTTCAGAAATTGATTCTAGAGATATAGTTCTGCACATTATGGATACAATAATGTTTTCCAAAATCCCGTGTGCTTCTTCCATGGGTGCCTGCTGCAGGTGACCATCATCTCGCCGTTCAACTTCCCTCTCAAGATCCCCATGCTGCAGCTTATGGGGTCACTGTGGAGTCCACTCACATTCACCGCAATTCTAAATCTTATCTAGAAATGTCTACATTCATTCCCGTCATTCCCTTGGCCGCCTGCTGCAGGTGACCATCATCTCGCCGTTCAACTTTCCTCTCGAGATCCCCATGCTTCAGCTCATGGGGGCGCTTTATATGGGGAATAAGCCGCTGCTCAAAGTGGACTCCAAGGTGTGTTGCGGTGCGGTGCGGTGAAACAGGGATGCGATGTGGTGTGGTGTGGTGCAATGTGGTGTCTCTGCTGTTGTATGCTCCATGCCTCAGCTCGTAGGGGCGCTGGACAAGTGGAATAAGCCACTGCTCAAAGTGGACTCCAAGGTGCAGTATGGTGTGGTGTTGTGCGGTGCGGTTCAGTGAGGTGAAAGGTGGTTTGTTGTGCTGTACATGGGGAATAAGCCTCTGCTCAAAGTGGACTCCAAGGTGGACTGTGGTGCAGTGCGGTGAAAAGTGGTCTAGTATGGTACGGTATGCTAGCAATCTGTGCAGTTTTATGCCCCATGCTCCAGTTCGGTGCCAACTCCATGCCTTCTTTCGTGCTACATGCATGTGACATGCCTCATGTGGACCGTATGGCCACTCTCTTTCTCCCTCTTCTCCCCACTCTCCTCTCCATGTGACAGTGGTAATGGGGCAAGCACTGCGCCTGCTGCATGCATGCGGCTTGCCCCATGCTGACGTTACAAGCACCACGAAACTCCCCTCTTTCCCCCGTCCCCTCTCTTGTCCACTCCCCTCTGCCGTCCTCCTGCTTTCCTTTGCTCCCAGGTGGCAGTGGTAATGGAGCAGGCACTGCGGCTGCTGCACGCGTGCGGCATGCCCCATGCTGACGTGGACTATATCAACTGTGACGGGCCAGTCATGCACCAGCTGCTGCTGCAGGTATGTTCTCGTGGGCAGGTGTGGTATGCAGGTTCAGTTCAGCTCCTGGATACCACAACTGCTTGGTCATGCGGCATTATAAAGCCGATGTGGACCATATCAACTGCGACGGGCCCGTCATGCACCAGCTGACTTTTGAGTCGACTCAGACGTTACCACAACTGCTTGGTCATGTGGCATGGTGTGGACTACATCAACTGTGACGGGCCCGCCATGCACCAGCTGCTGCTGCTGGTATGTGCCCGTGTGCAGATGTGATACGTATACACTACGTGTGCAGGTGAGTGGTATGCAGGTTCGGTCACACAGGTCCGGGCTTCAGTCCAACAGGTTCAGTCACACAGGTCCAGGCTTCAGTCCAACAGGTTCGGTCACACAGGTCCGGGCTTCAGTCCAACAGGTTCGGTCACACAGGTCCGGGCTTCAGTCCAACAGGTTCGGTCACACAGGTCCGGGCTTCAGTCCAACAGGTTCGGTCACACAGGTCCGGGCTTCAGTCCAACAGGTTCGGTCACACAGGTCCGGGCTTCAGTCCAACAGGTTCGGTCACACAGGTCCGGGCTTCAGTCCAACAGGTTCGGTCACACAGGGAGAACATGCTGACATGACGTGGTGCGCGTCGACTGTGACAAGCCTGTCATGTGCATCACAGTTATGTACTGTGATGTAATCTATCACCCCTCTCCCCCCACCCCTCGTGATTGAACAAGTGTTTTGAGATGTTCTCAAAACATGTGCATCACAGTTATGTACTGTGACGTACTCTGTCATCCCTCTCCCCCCACCCCCTGACTGCTCCAGGCCCAGCCGTGTGTGGCGCAGTTCACAGGCAGTGCACGCATAGCAGAGGTCACGGGCAATTACTTGAGGGGGGAGGTGAATCTGGAGGGGGAGGTGAATCTGGAGGGGGAGGTGAATCTGGAGGGGGAGGTGAATCTGGAGGGGGAGGTGAATCTGGAGGGGGAGGTGAATCTGGAGGGGGAGGTGAATCTGGAGGGGGAGGTGAATCTGGAGGGGGAGGTGAATCTGGAGGGGGAGGTGCTGCGCTGCTCTCCCTGCCTCACTGCCTTTCTCTGCCCCCAACTCTACCGTCCCGTACCTTTCTCCACCACCCCGTTACCCATCTCCTCCCTCCCTACTATTCCAGGCCCAGCCGTGTGTGACTCAGTTCACAGGCAGTGCTCGCATTGCTGAGATTCTGGCCCAAGGACCTGCGGGGCAAGGTGAAGCTGGTAGGGGGTTTCGACATGCTCTCACTGTCTCGCTGCTCTTTACCCACTGTCTGTTACCCCTCGCCACCACCCCATCACCCCTCTCCCACCTCTCACACGGTCCCATTCCCCCCCACACAGGCCCAGCCGTTTGTGACGCAGTTCACAGGGAGTGCACGCGTTGCTGAGATTCTAGCCAAGGACCTGAGGGGCAAGGTGAAGCTGGTAGGGGGAGTACCCCCACATGCTCTTTTGAGACGCCTCAAAAGCTGGTAGGGGGAGTACCCCCACATGCTCTCCCTGAATCACTGCCTCCCTCTGCTGTCACTCCACCACCCCGTCACCCTTCCCTTCCCAACAGGCCCAGCCGTGTGTGACTCAGTTCACAGGCAGTGCTCGAATTGCAGAGATACTAGCAAAGGATTTGAGGGGCAAGGTGAAGCTAGAGGACGCAGGGTTCGACTGGAAGATCCTGGGCCCAGATGTTAAGGAGGTGGGTGGTGTGTGTGTGGGATTGGGAGGTAAAGCCCGGAAAACCTGGGTAGTGCTGCTTTGGTGTGCTGCACGCACCTTGGTGTTTTTCTCACCTGAGGGGGAAGGTGAAGCTGGAGGACGCAGGGTTCAACTGGAAGATCCTGGGCTCAGACGTGAAGGAGGTGCGTGGGGGGTGTGTGTGGGATTGGGGGGTAACGCCTGGAAAATCTGGGTAGTGCTGCTTTGGTGTGCTGCACATTGGTGTTTTTCTCACCTGCGGGGGAAGGTGAAGCTGGAGGACGCAGGGTTCGACTGGAAGATCCTGGGCCCAGATGTTAAGGAGGTGGGTGGGTGGTGTGCTAGTAGGTAGTTTGTGAGTGGGTAGTGAATGGAAAGCTTGGGTATTGCTGCTTAGGTGTGCTGCTCGTGCTGCTTTCCTTGCCTACGTGGGCAAGGTTTTGAGTCGACTCAAAAGCTTTCCTTGCCTGCGTGGGCAAGGTTTTGAGTCGACTCAAAAGCTTTCCTTGCCTGCGTGGGCAAGGTTTTGAGTCGACTCAAAAGCTTTCCTTGCCTGCGTGGGCAAGGTTTTGAGTCGACTCAAAAGCTTTCCTTGCCTGCGTGGGCAAGGTTTTGAGTCGACTCAAAAGCTTTCCTTGCCTGCGTGGGCAAGGTGAAGCTGGAAGGCGCTGGGTTGGACTGGAAGTTCCTGAGCCCAGATGTGAAGGAGGTGGGTGCTTCTGTGAGTGGGATGATGGCTTTATGAGTCTGTGCTCTAGGTGTAGGCCTGCGTGATTTGTTCCTTGCACTATACAGGTTGGCTCTGTCACCCACCCACCACTGCTGTATGGGTTTAACCTCCCTTCCACTTCGTATTTATCCCATGCCACCCTCCCATGTCTGCAACGCCAGCTGGACTACGTGGCATGGGTGTGCGATCAGGACCCGTATGCCTGCAGGGTCAGAAGTGCTCAAGTCAAAGGGATTTCATTTCCCCCTTCCACTGCTTGTTTGTCCCCAACCTCTGCCTGTCTGCAACACCAGCTGGACTATGTGGCATGGGTGTGCGATCAGGACGCGTATGCCTGCAGCGGCCAGAAGTGCTCTGCCCAGTCGATTCTCTTCATGCACAAGGCAAGTCTGTCCTCTTTATAGGTAACCTGCTTATCCTCGTTATAACCATTTCTTGCCCGTCGCCTCTCTCCTGTTCGTCCCTCTTCCCGCCATTCTGTTACGACCGCTCAAGGAAAAAATATCCCCTTTTGGTGCACGTCCCTCAATCATCAGAACTGGGTACAAACCCGTCATTCTTTTAAGACAGCTCAATTAGACATCCTCTTCTCCCCCCCCCCCTCTTCCCTTCTCTTGCAAATCCTCTTGCCGCCCCTCCGTGGTCATCAGAACTGGGTGCAAGCATGCCTGATGGATCGCCTGCGATAATTGGCTGCTCGTCAGAATGCAGTCAATGCAGTCAATACAGTCAATCCATTCTCCCCCACCCCCTCCCCCCTTTCTCATGCGCATCCCCCCCATCCATCCATGGCCTTCAGAACTGGGTGCAAGCTGGCCTGATGGATCGCCTGCGATCATTGGCTGCTAGTAGTGCAGTCAGTGCCATCATCTCCCCTCCCCCCGCCCCCCTTTTCGTGTGATTATTCCGCCTTATCCTCCCACGGTCATCAGAACTGGGTGCAAGCTGGCCTGGTGGATCGCCTGCGGTCATTGGCTGCTCGCCGCAACCTGCAGGATCTCACCATTGGTCCCGTGCTCACGGTGAGTGCTTGTAACGAAATTTTATGTGCTCACCATGAGTGCGGGTAATGCAACAAGACATACTGTATTCTAGGTCGACTTGCTTGCCTTCCTCGGGGTTCGCCTGGAGTTCAGGATTCTGAGCTGCCCCATAACGCTCCTATCGCTCTTCTCCCCTTCTTTCTCCCCCACCAGGTGACAACAGAGGCGTTCCTATCCCACGTGAAAGCCCTGCTCTCCATTCCCGGGGCTCGCCTTGAGTTCGGAGGGAAGGAGCTGCAGGGGGGGAAGCACAGCATCCCCTCATGCTACGGTGCTGTCGAGCCGACCGCTGTGTTTGTGCCGCTTAAAGCCATGCTTGCCAGCCGGGAGAACTTTGAGATCGCCACCAAGGAGGTGTTCGGACCGATTCAGGTGGGTTTCAATTTTTTTGGAAGGTTGACTGTGATATCACCAGTTGCCATGCTTGCCAGCCGGGAGAACTTTGAGATCGCCACCAAGGAGGTGTTCGGACCGATTCAGGTATGTCGAAATTTGCGTGAGTGCAGAGATTATATTATATATCTATGCACACGTATGTGTACGTATGTATAAGAAACAATCAATGTAGCTTAGACTTCATGTTTTCCGGTTGGGCTTTAATGTGTGGACAGCGACTTCAGGTGGAAGCAACCTGGCCTGGAACAGGCGGGTGGGCAGCACTGCATTGTCAAGTGGTTCACACTCCGCTTCCCCTGCACCTCCCCCTCCATTTCCAGGTGGTGACAGAGTATGACGACAGCGAGATTGGCCTGGTGCTGGAAGGATCAGGAAGGCAGGCAGCAGAGCGTTCTCATTTTCTTCACTCTGCTCCTCTCTGCACCGCCCCTGTCATTCACAGGTGGTGACAGAGTATGACGACGGCGAGATTGACCTGGTGCTGGAGGCCAATGAGAGGATGACAGCTCATCTCACTGCTGCGGTCGTCTCCAACGACCCTCTCTTCCTGCAGGTATGGAAACTAACTGGTGTGAAAAAAGCAAGTGATGTGAAAAAAACAAGTGGTGTGAAAAAACCAAGTGGTGTGGAAAAACTAGTGAAGGTCAACAGGTGTGAAGGCCGACAGGTTCCGAGGCCAACGTAAATGAAAACCAACTGGCATGGAAAGGAATAGGTGTCAAAGGCGGCAGGTTCACAGACCCATCTGTCTCAATTCGTAAAAGACAATAGTTCTTGCTCTTTCCTACAAATTTTCTAAGGCAGTCCGTCATTTATGTTACTTCTCCTCGGGTTCACTTTTCTGCATTGACATCAATCATCGGTGTCTCTCCTACCGTACTTATTATCCATCCTTCCTTCCCCAACCATTTCTTGTGTCCACGTCAGCACGTGCTGGCAAACACTGTGAACGGGACCACCTATGTTGGACTGAGGGCAAGAACCACAGGGGCGCCACAGAATCACTGGTAAGGCATGAATTATAAATACACTGGTTTTTTTGGAAGCCCGGCATGCACCGTGTGCTACAGATGAGTTGCAGGATGGTGTGTTGTGGATGCTAACAATATAGGTGGTACAAATGACGTCCACTAATTGTCTTTGCACCCGTTGTGCCTCATTTCCAGGTTTGGACCCGCTAATGATCCACGAGGGGCAGGCATTGGAACCCCGGAAGCAATTCGCTTGGTTTGGTCATGCCATCGGGAGATTATCTCGGACTATGGTCCAGTTCCTTCTGGATGGACCCTTCCTGCGTCAACCTAGTGTATGTTGGTTTTTAGTTCTGACATACACGTGTTGAAAATATGATCATGAAGCGTTTCCAAATGGGCTACCATATTTTTCAAGAACTAAATATTTCAAAACGTATTTCAATACTTCTAATGAGGTTGCCATAATACAACTACGCTGGTTTCAATAAGCTTTCGGAGGTTGTGTACAGCCATAAGATTTTCGAGTGTGCCATCTAGCACGTTCAAATCTCGGCTTTCGATTTGATCTGACAGCCATTTCGAATTGTGGCGGGGTTGTGCGACGGCTTTGGCTTTCGCCTGTCGAAGAGCCGTTCAAATCCTCACATTCAAACTTCCCGCTCTATTCTCATAGCCTGCTGGCCGTTCATTTCCAAGCTGAGAAACCGCTCATCACCATCATGCCGATGTCCTTCTCCGCCAGCAGGTTCTCATCTACGGCTGTGTATTGAGTTTGGATTACATATCGGACGGCCTATAGGGACTCGGACTCTCCGTCCCCAGATTTTGCTCAGTTACGAACAAAGGCCACTTCCATTTGTCAAAATGCCAAACATTTCCCACAACCAGTTTGCCATCGGACGGTTCAATGCGACTCATCGCGATGAACTGTACCAAAAGCACCTCTCCTCCCGTAGCCAATGTAGTTTCCCGTTTGCCCGAATCCCAACGCTCCAGCCGTAAAGGGCGGCCGTTTGGCGCAAAGCGAAATTGTTCTCCTGCGAGACGAGCCGCACCACCTAGCCGCATTTGGCGACCCACACAAATTGTTCGCGGCACGGCTTTTGAAAAATCTCCAGCCCCGAAACCACTCGTCAACGTACTTGAAACTACTGCACCTGCGCTGTTTGTTGTCATCCTGCCACCATTTGCTGGTTGCCCAACAGCACACAAGCCCTTCACCTACAAAACATATCGCCTAGGTCATTCTTCCTCATCCACTTTCTGCTTTCAACACCAGCATTCTCACGTGGTGCACTCTCGTGCTCCTATATCCACACGCGCTGAGTTTCAAACGCTTTATCGCTTACATTGGCCGTACCACGGGTGTATACTTGACGTCCAGCATCTTCTCTATCTAGATCGGTACCTTGCACTCAGAGGGTCCAGGCTCTACCGCTCAGAGGCTCGTTGTTCTGTTTCTGTAGTGTGTCCTTGTCAAAGAGTTTCCGCCCGACCTATCTCAAGCCATGGCCACCAGAATGGCCTCCCAGTACGCAGCTAACGACGAGAACCGTGTGATGGATGGGAAACGGATAGCCGGCAGCAAGAACGCCGCCGCGGCTATCGCACCGGAGCTCGGCGCGATGAAGCTTCGATCCGGCCATGTCCTCCCTCCACCGCGACGGGCTTTCGGCACGCTCACCAACAGCATGGCCTCCAAGGCCGCCGCTGGCGGAAAGTTCGAGTAAGGCTTTGTAACTCCCTCACGCTCCTTCATCAAGTGTGCCGTTTTTTTCTTATTTTTGGCCTCTGCATCGCGATTTCGTTTATTGTATTCTCCGTTCCATTGATTTTAACGCGTCATCTCCCTCTGTTTTCTGTATCGCAGGAAGAAGGCCGAGCCCGTCCGCCAACGCGCTGCTCCCGCCGCCAAGGTCCCTGGTCGCGCTTCCGTTGTCGTGGTGAGTACCACTTCTCGAAGCGCTTTGGACACTTGAGATCAGTTTCCGTCGCCGCTCTTCGCCTTTACTTGACGCGTGTACCATCTTCAGTCTTACCGTACTTCGTCTGTTACTTCGTTATCTGACGCTCCTCGATCTCGTTCTTCTTGATTGCAGCCCAAGTCGCAACCTGCCGCCAAGTCCGCTCAGACCTCCAGCGCCGTCAGCGTCATCACCGTCTCACCTGACGTGGAAGAAGTGATCCCGAATGACGTGGACATCGAAGAGCCGCGCCACGTGCACACCATGACCGCCGAGCTGACGGCTGTCAGCGAGGAAGCGAGCGTGCTCTCCACGATCACCGCGATAAACGCCGCCGCTGTCGCCGCCGCGTCCGTCAAGAGGGAAGCGTGGTGGGACATCGACGCTGCCGACAAGAGCAACCCTCTTGCCGAGACGACTTATGTCGCGGATATCTACAACTTCTACAGGCGCACGGAAGCGGAAGGCATGGTGGCTCCGGACTACATGAACCGTCAGAGCGACATCAACGGCACGATGCGCGCGATTCTCGTCGACTGGCTGATCGAGGTTCATCTCAAGTTCAAGCTCATGCCGGAGACGCTTTTCCTCGCTATAAGCGTCATCGATAGGTACCTGGCGGTGACGCCGGTTCCCCGTCGTAACCTGCAGCTGGTGGGGATCACGGCGATGCTGATCGCATCTAAGTACGAGGAGATCTGGGCTCCTGAGGTCGGCGATTTCGTGTATATCTGCGATAGCGCGTACACGCGCCAGGACGTGTTGAAGATGGAGAAGGATATGCTCAACACGCTGCAATTCAAGCTGACAATCCCCACGTCGTACGTCTTCGCCGCGCGATTCCTCAAGGCCGCGACCGCCGCCGCGAACGCCGCCGCTGCCGCTGGTGCGGGTGCTGACAAGGCGGTTACCGTTGGGGCGGACACGCGCGTTCACGCGCTCGCGTGGTTCCTTCTCGAGCTGACCCTGCCTGAACACTCCATGATCAAGTTCTCCCCGTCGCACGTGGCTGCCGCTTCGGTCTACGCCGCGCTGCTGACGGCGCACCACGCCAACAAGACAGCCACGGGAGCAGGCTCGGCAGGCGCCGGTGAGGTTTGGGGGCCCGGCATGGCGTGGCTTACCGGGTACGACGAGGCGACGCTGTGGCCGTGCGTGGAGCAGCTTGTGGCTCTGCACGGGAAGGCAGGCACGGGGAACCTCGCGGCGGTGCACAAGAAGTACTCGCGGAAGCAGTTCGAGGAGGTGGCGAAGATTCCTGCTGTTCCTCACCTGCCCGAGAATCCCCCCCGTGCCGCCGTTGCACATAAGCTGACGAAGTCGACATCCTGCTTGTCGACGGCCAACTCGTCCGTTCCAGCGGCTGGCAGGAAGTGAAAGGAGGAGGATGGATGTACCTTGGGAGTTGCACCGAGCTAGTATCTGGTCTCTTAGAGCTCATTGCGCAGGGTCATCTCGCCCTGTTTTTGCTTTCCTGCTCTTGATGAGGGCTCTCTCTGCCCTTCTTTGGAGCTTTTGCTCTCGTAGCTTGTATTTTCTTTCCTAGCTTGTTACACGAGGGGCTCTCTCGGGCTAGACCAAATAAGGACTTGGGTTCTTAGATTAGGACGTGTACAGCGGTCTAAGCGATAATAACTTTGAGCATGAAGTGTGACAATGACAAGCAAGAAGAATCACACGAGAAACGACATAAATAATGCTGACATCGTGAGTGAGCAACAGCCTGATTCCATTGCCCCTTATTCCGTACAATTACCCACCTTCCTTCACTTCTTCTCCCAGCCTTCCAAACCTTAGTCTGTGGGTTACGCATCAATTTCCTCTGATAGTGGTGCTGGATAGGTGGCGGCTTCCAGGAGCTTCTTCCCCTTGTACTTCTCATACACTGCACCACTGCGACTCGACAAAGCTGTCTTGTATATGTCCAGCAACAGCCCCACACAGTGCCAAAGGTCCTGAGCTTCATAACCAGTCAAGTCAGCCATTCGTGATCCCCAAAGTTCACCTTCATTGGTTGGCCTCCTGTGCCTGATGGTTTGATTGCTCTCCGAATCAGCTGACTTGGCCACCTTGCCCTTTTGGTAAGCTCCAAGCAGAGCAGTGTATACTGCTGCTGCAGCAAGATGGGACGGACTGAACTGAACCATGCTGATTTCTGGAATCGTCAGCTCCAGAAGGTACCATGCAAAGGCATGCACCCGACTGCTGGTTCCCTTTGACACTTCGATGCTCCACCCATTCGAAACTGCATTTGAAGCTGTGGCGGCGTCAGCTGCAGCCTTGGCGAACTTTAGGTAACGAACAGCGAACATGTAGCATGTTGGGATGCTCAGCTTGAATGATATCTTGTTCAATATCTGCTTCTCCATCATCCGTATCTGTCCTCGCGTGTAGGCGCCAGATCCAATATCTTCGATTTCAGCCACAAGAGGAGCATAAATCTCCTCGTATTTCGCAGCAACCAAGATGCATGTTGCTCCAAGAAGTTGAATGTGTTTCTTAGGTACATGAGTGGCAGCGAGATATCGGTCGAAGATGTTGACAGCCAAAAAAAGAGTTTCAGGCATCAGATTATAAGATCCATGGACCTGTAAAGCGATTACAAGGAGTCAGAAAGGTAAGGTCGAAGTTAATGGAAGGGGACGACAATGGCTTACCTGAACAACCCAATCTAGCACAACGCCTCGCATGCGACTGTCGACTTCAGATTGAGCAGACATGTAAGTGGGGCATACCATTCCCTCCTTCTGTAAAATAGAAGCTCCAAGAAGTTAGCCTTCGAGTTGAGCATCCAAAGAAAGATATCAGAAACTGACCTCCGTCATCTTGTAATGGTTGTATATGTCAGCGACGTAAGTTGTCTCAGCAAGCGGATTCTCACGGTCTTGAGCATCGACATCCCAACAAGACTCCACTTTGACTTCCAGAGTATTATCAATGAGCTGCTTCGTCATGGTCAAGATGTGCCTCCCTGGACCAGCGTTGCTCCCTGCACCATGACCAGCACTCTCCCTTCGCTGAAAAACATATTGCGTCACTTCGTTTGTTGCTTTCTCATGATGGAATGGGAGTTGTGTCACCGTCCGAGTGTCCAAATCAGTTGCGTTCACGCTGCTAGATTCAGTAGTAATAAGATGATCAGCGACATTGTCCTCATGAACCGGTGCAGTAACGTGATCCAGGAGTTCTTTGTCGTGAACAGCAGCAGTCGAATGCTCAGCGACGTTCTCCTCATGGATAGCCGCAGAAACGTCATCAGCGACACCTTTATCATGAACAGCAGCTGCGGGATGATCAGCGACCTTCACTTCATGGATAGCTGCAGCGACGTGATCAGCGCGGTCTTTGTCATGAACAGCAGCAGTGAGATGATCAGCTAGTCCAATGTCTTCATTAACAGGTGCAGTAAGGTGATCGGCGACAACTCCATCATCAGTAATCGCTGCTGGAGCGACCTCAGGATGATCACTGATGCCAGTCGTTGAAGACCTTCGACTGACAGTCGCGTTGCTGGAACGAGCGGCAACAGGAGCAGAACTGCTGCTGCGTCGCGGTACATTGCACCGTGTGGTAGGAGGACGTGTGTTCTCGAAGAGACCTTTAGAAATTCCAGCCGGACGCCATGCCGGAGTAGGTGGTTTTGTTGGCCGAGCCTGTACATTTGTCACTAGTATCAGTAACGATCAGAAATAGCATTCCTCATGCCGCTTTAATCACGTTTCGAGCACACCTGAGGAGCAGGCTTCTTTAATGCAGCTTTTGGAACATTCCCTTCTTTTACAGGAGCTTTGTCACTGAAACATGAAACGCAGAGTCAGTGATGTCTCTCGACGAACTTTGCTGTTGACGCGTTTCTTTGTCTTACCGCTCGGAGACCAAGGCCTTGGTGGTGTTCGTGACATGACGCAGCGAAGGACGAGAACTTTCGTTCTTACTCCGTACGACGTTCGTCTTCGTGGCTGGATTTCAGTCACGCGGTTTAGTATCGTATAACATAGAAAATGGATCAATACGAACGTTCTGACAATACTACCCTTCCCTGCAGCGAGCATAGCGTTTTCGTTCTGGGAAGTCACTGGACGAATCCGTGTTTCCCCACGACGGCTCTGCAAGCAGCGGTTGATCGTTATGGAGCTTCCAGAATGAAGAGACGTCGTTAAATTGCAACTCGATCTCACCTGAGTTGCGAGAGGCGCCATGATTCTCGACGCTACCGTCTTTCTGAATCCTGATTCTAGACAAACCTCTGGTAGAGAACAAACGCAAATTTGTAGGCTCGCAGAGTTTTGACTTTCTGCCGTGCTGGTTCAAGTTTCAATAATGCAGCAGATATATTCGTACACTCTGTACAGTAACGCCGCAATGGCTAAACCATTTTCCCAGAGTACAATATTCAGATAGTGCAATTTTGATTCTCATAAACTATAACATGCGTGGCATGCCATTTTGATTGTCATGCCATATTACGTTAAAATGATTACGTGGATGAGGTTAATTCACCACCCAGAATGAAGACAGCTAGTAACAACCTACATCTTGGTATCTCTAAATCAGCATTATATCAAGCTGCATGAACCACTGACTGGCAAACAGCTAGCATTATTGCGGGACTTCCCCTGAACCAACCGCCGTTTTCTTTGCCGTGCTGATGATATGGTACATAGCAGTTACCGCTGCCTTGTTTTCCGCCCACCATGTTTCTGCTTGCTTCTCCATGAAAACCTTGCGGCTACAGATGAGCATCCACAACACAAGCAAAAAAAAGAAGCTTATTATTGGAAAAAAATACAGATTGTTTGGAAATGAAGAAGGATGAGAGGAAAAGTTTCAGTGGAGAGACTACAAGGCACATAGGGAAGGAATGCTGAGAAGGTGGGAAGATGATGTGGGGGTCGTGGGGGTGCGCCGGAGGGTGGAGAGTACTGACAAAAAAGGCACAAAAAACCAGGGCAGAGCTGCGAGGGTGGGATCGAGGAAGCAGGGATGAGAAGACGGAAGCACCAGCAACGCAATTAAAGCAACGGCTTACCTGAACCTGATTCGACGAAGCTCAGTCCCTTCCCCAGGCAGCTTTGCCAGAGTCACATACACCCCAGGCTCTGGCTGCTCCACCCACTCCCCATCTCCCAGCTTCCTGCTCCTGTGCTTCCTCTCATGTCTCTCCTCCCTGCTTGCACTCTCTTCCCTGCTTGCACTCTCTTCCCTGCTTGCACCCGCTTCCCTCCCACAATCCTCTTCCTCCCGAGCACTCTCCTCCTTGTATCCTCCCCCCTCCCCAGTCACATTCACCTCCCTCCCAGCAATCTCCTCCCCCCCAGCACTCTCCTCCCTCCCAGCACTCTCCTCACCCCCAGCACTCTCCTCACCCCCAGCACTCTCCTCCCCCCCAGCACTCTCCTCACCCCCAGCATCTTCCCAATCACCACTCCCTGTCTCGCCCCGGCTCATAGCACGTGGCACATATTGCCAGCCACAGCTCCCATCCTCCTCACCTGCCCCCGCACGGTCCTCCACACCCTCCACACCCGTCACAACATCTCCATACTGCCGCTGGCCTGGCACATACCCCCATTGTCCAGCAGATTTTGTACCACCTTCCTCTGAATACTCCACAGAATAATTCTCCTCTGGATTCGCTTCTGCAGCGTTCCCATCCAGATCCGATGCTGCAAGAAGCGTACCAGATCCATCATTCACAACCCTTCCAAACGAAGCTTCGCCTGGAGCCCCACTTCCTTCTCGCACTGCCCCACTCCCTTCCAATCCATCAGGACACAGTGGCCCGTTCCCCCTCTCCTCTCTATCCACCACAGCAACAGCAGCAGCACTGTCCATGCCCGCACCCCTATCTACTGCGAATCTGCTGGCCGGTCGCTGTGGTCTGGGGGTCATTTCACAGATCCCGTTCCACACAGGTGGAATCCCAATGCCAGTCACCTTCTTAGAGACAACAACAGTTCCCCTTTCAGCAACCCCTTTCCGGGAAGCAGCATCAGCGCCCACCTGCTTGCTCGCAGCTCCCATCCCTTCCATCCCATCCCTCCGTTCCTCCGCCTCTCCTTCCCCTGCTTCCTCCTTACCCTCCTCCTCACCACAGACTCCCATACCTGGCTCCCTTGCCCCCTCCGAACCTTCCCTACAACCACCAGCAAACCTCTCCTCTGCCTCCTCATCCTCCCCTTCAGCCACATCAGCTAAAGCATCACCATGTAGATTCCCCTCTTCTGCTGCAGCGCAAACAGAAAGCCCCTGCCCTCCGCTCCCCACAGATGCCTCAGAAGAGACCCCCAGGCCTGTCTTCCCAGCGCCTCTATTCACCTGCCCGAACCACTGCGATCTGGGGGAGTCAATGTTTTCATCTGACCCGCCCGCAGGACTCCAAGGCATGCCCACTGCGCTTCGAAACGACCAAGACTTGTTGGATTTTCTGGCGGGTTTAGAGATGTTTGAGGAGTCTGAAGGAGGAGGCATGGACTGAGAAGAAAGGTATGACGATTCTGAAGGAATCTCGTTCTCGCTCTCCCCATCCCCGTCTCCTCGCTGCTTTTGTGCTTCATCTTTCTGAACCATCTCCTCCTGAATTGCCCCTTCCAGCACAAGTCGATTAATTTGATCCCCTTCAACATCTGCAGCTAAGCCCTTCAGCATACTGCCTTCCAGTTTGCCGGATGCTTCTGCTGCTTCTGCTCTTTTGGCTGCTACTTCTTCAGGCACCTCTGCTTCTACTGCTGCTTCTGCCACGTCTTGTGCACCTTCCCATCCCTCAGAAGATTCCCGCAACTCTTCTTCCACCCGCAGCGCGGCCAACGCAGCCGCAGCTGCTGCAACCGACTCACCGTCCCTCCCAGCTATCCCTGCTGCTGCAGCTGCAGCTGCGGCGGCAGCAGCGGCACCTGGAGGCGATTTGGATCTGGTCCACTCTAAGGAACTCCAGGAGTTGAAGGAGAAATTGGCTGTTAGTGGCTGTAGCCCTGCTGCTGCAGCAGCAGCTGCTGCTGCTGCTGTGCGTGGAGTGACCATGCGTTTCAACAATCTGGAGTTCTTGCTACCGCCGCCGCCACCGCCACCGCCACCGCCACCACTGCCGTCGTTGCTTCTGCTGCTGCCGCCGCCGCCGCCGCTGCTGCTGCCTCCGCTTACCCTTCCCTCGAAGCTGCCACTGCCTGTGCTGCTGCTACCGGCACACGCACTGTCCGTACCCACACCTGTGCTCGTGCTTGTATCTGTACTTGTGCTTGAAACGGATGTGCTATTATTGGTATTCAGTGCAGCCCCTATGCTGCTGCCATTGGCACCTCCCATATCAGTGGATGGAGCAGTGCCACTAGTAGCACCCACCCAATCAGCCCCACCTGCTACCTCCCCGCGTGCCTCTTCCCCACACAACCCCTCCCCACATGTATCCTCCCCACGTGCCCCCTCCCCACGTGCCCCCTCCCCACATGGCCCCCCTTCAGCTACTGCCTGTCCTGGAGCCAACACAGCGGCAGTGCTGGTAACTTGTTGTGGAGGGAGCTCCGTTAGGGTTGGAGGGATGGAGGTGGAGGAGAGGAGCGGGCCTGTGTAGACCACGGCAGCTGGCAGGGAGGTCACTGCGAGGCTGACTTGCTTGGTGCTGCCCTCAGGGAGAGCTTGTGTGAGCGAGGTGAGCTGTGTATGGATGGGGGGCAGGGAGAAAAAGAAGTGGGGGGAGGGAGAAGAGAAAGGGGGAGAAGAGGGACAGGAGTGAAGAGGGGGGGGAGGGGGGAAAGGGAGGGGGATGAGAGTGGGGAAGAGGAGCGGGCCTGTGTAGGCCACAGCAGCTGGCAGGGAGGTCACTGCGAGGCTGACTTGCTTGGTGCTGCCCTCAGGGAGATCTTGAGTGAGAGTGGTGAGCTGTGTATGGGTGGAAGGGAGGTGGGGGGAGGAGGTGTAAACAGAGGGAGGGGGTGGAAGAGGGAGGGGGAAGAAGAGGGAGGGGGGATGAAAGGGAGAGTGAGAGGTGGAGGACAGAAATAGTCAGCAGAACGAGATGATGCTGATGGGGAGGAGGCGCAAGGCACACTGGCCTGCTGCATGTTTGCGAGCGATGCCAGGAGCACGAATATAAAGTGCAGAATCAGGTACAGGAATATTTAGAAACAGACTAAAGGGTCACACCTGCTGAGAGAGCAGTTGGATGACGTCACGAGCGCCAGCAGCACGAGCAGCAGCCCTGCTGGCCGCTGAGAAGGCTGCCTCGACCTGCTTGCTCGCTAGCCGCCTCTCTGCCTGCCGCTCCCTCTCCACCTCCGCACTCCTCGCTTTCACCACTCGTAGCTGGAGGGAGGCAAGGGGGAAGAAAGGGCTTGTAAGAGCCAGCAGTACGAGCAGTGGTCTTGCTGGCAGCAGCAAGTGCTGCCTCCACCTGCTTGCTCGCTAGCCGCCTCTCTGCCTGCCGCTCCCTCTCCACCTCCGCACTCCTCGCTTTCACCACTCGTAGCTGGAGGGAGGCAAGGGGGAAGAAAGGGCTTGTAAGAGCCAGCAGTACGAGCAGTGGTCTTGCTGGCAGCAGCAAGTGCTGCCTCCACCTGCTTCCTCGCTAGATGCCTTTCTGCCTGCCGCTCCCTCTCCACCTCCGCACTTCTTGCTTGCACGGCTCGTAGCTGGTGGTTGGGGCAGAGGAGCGAGGAGATGGAAACAAAGGGTTACGGAAAAGAAAAGAAAAAACAAAACAGATTATAGTCACAAATGACATGCATATGCACATGCACACATCACATGCACACATCACATGTGATATGCATGCACACGTCGCACACACGTGTCTCTTTTTCAGCTTGCACACGTGTCTTCTTTTCAGATTGTGATGCTATCTGCAACATTGTTCTCCCCTTCTGCGGTTACTGATCCTGAGCTCTACCATGCTATTGCGCACCTCTTCTCGCAGTCTCTGAATCTCCTTGTCTGCCTCCTCCTTCGCCTTTCTCCACCGCGCCTCCCCGCTCCCCACCGCACCCCCCTGCTGCCTCCAATCCCAAGGATCCACTCCCACTCCACCAATCACAGGGAAACCACCAGCAGCAGCACCTCTACCCACACCACCGCCAGCAGCACTGCTACCAGCTATCATAGCTGCAGCGGCAGCAGCAGCAGCAGCAGCAACCTGAGCTCCCGTAGGACTTGCCGCTCTCCCCGCCCCCAACGGACTATTACTCGACTGCCACATCAGCGGACTGGACGGCCGCCGGCCCGAGCCTATCACCAAGCCTGCCACCGAGCCTCGGAGGGAGATGGTCCGGGAGGCCCGGGGCGGAGGCCCGGAGTCTTCCGGGAGGTTCGGGGAGAGGGAGTGGGAGGAATGGCGGGAAGGGAGAGTGGGAGGGGTGGTGGTGGTAGCGCTGTTGGGTGCAAGAGTGGACGAGGGTGTAGGGCTGGCGATACTGGTTGAGAGAGACGCACTGGTTTGGGAGAAGAGCCAAGAGGTAGTAGAGGAGGGGGAAGACGAGGAGGAAGAAGAGGAGGAGGAAGCCTGAGAGAGGAAGCCGGAGGGGAGGATGGGGAGGGACGAGGAGACGGAGTTGTTAGGGGACGGGGCGGCATGTTGGGGCTGAGGGGGTGGAGATCTACGAAGGCTGGCCTGCTGCCCTGCCTGTTGCTGTTGCTGCTGTTGTGCCTGCGTATGGGGGTACTGGGGATACTGGTAAGTCATGGGAGCGAAGGCTTGACTTGAAACGAGGGAGGCGAATAGAGGAGGCGGAGAGACCGGCCCCCACATGGGGAGGGGCAGTGCTGACCCCCCATCATGGCTGCGTGCATGCACATGCGCAATCTCTGCAGTGTTTCCAGGAGAGTTTCCAGGAGTAATCCCAGGTGTTCCTGAGAATGACCCTGCCTTGGCCCTACTAGTGCTGCTTCTCATCCCTGCTGCTCCTGGGCCTATAGAGTTTCCAGATATAGCACTGTTGCTGCCGAGGGATAAAAAGTTCCCACCAGCAGCAGTAGCAGCAGCAGCACCACCACCAGCACTACTACCACGATTACCAGCAGCAGCACTACCGCCACTGCTGCTGGTGAACAGCCCAGGCTTACCCCCTCCCCCTGCTCCTCCTCCGCCTCCTCCGCCGCCGCTCCCCATGCCTCCCAGACTGCCGCTGCTGCTGATACTGCTGCTGCTGCTGCCGGTGCTGCTAGTGCTCTTCAAATTGATGCTGCTGCTGGTACTGATACTATTAGAACCCTTACTCATCTTGCCGCTACTGCTGCTGATGGTACTGCTAGTACTGCCGTTGCTGCTGGCTGAAGCCTTACTCATCTTGTTAAAGCACGTGTCGCACACACGGTAAGGACGGGTGGGAGTCGGAGCCATGGCTGCCCCTAGCAGTTTCCGGGGGCTGCAGGCGTGGCAGACGGGGAGGGAGCAGTTGTAGCAGTGGTGGCGGATGCGGGCAAAGGAGAAGGCCTGGCGGCAGAGTGTGCAGTGGTGGTGGTCTGAGCCCTGTGCATGCCTGTGCTGACACACCACTGCTGTGCTGGCTGGCCCACAGGACACCTGAGGTGGAGAAGCGACAGAGAGGGGCAGATAGGGAGCGTGAGGAGAGGTGGAAACAGCAGCGTGCAGTGGTGGTGGTCTGAGCCCTGTGCGTGCTGATGCTGACACATCACCGCTGTGCTGGCTGGCCCGCAGGATGCCTGCAGTGGAGAACAGAGAGGGAGTGATTGAGAGGAGTGTGATTGTAATAGAGGGGGTGAGTGAGAGGAATGTGAATGTAATAGAGGGAGTGATTGAGAGGAATGTGAATGTAATAGAGGGAGTGATTGAGAGGAGTGTGAATGTAATAGAGCGGGTGAGTGAGAGGAATGTGAATGTAATAGAGGGAGTGATTGAGAGGAATGTGAATGTAATAGAGGGAGTGATTGAGAGGAATGTGAATGTAATAGAGGGAGTGATTGAGAGGAATGTGAATGTAATAGAGGGAGTGATTGAGAGGAATGTGAATGTAATAGAGGGAGTGATTGAGACGAACGTGAATGTAATCGAGGGAGTGAATGAGAGGAATGTGAATGTAATAGAGGGAGTGATAGTGAGAGAGGAGAGGGACAGAGAGAGTGACAGAGATCTCGTGATGCTGGTTCCAAAATAGGGCCCATCCTCCATGCCCCATGCTCTTGAGTCGACTCAAAATCAAAATAGGGCCCATCCTCCATGCCCCATGCTCTTGAGTCGACTCAAAAGCAAAATAGGGCCCATCCTCCATGCCCCATGCTCTTGAGTCGACTCAAAAGCAAAATAGGGCCCATCCTCCATGCCCCATGCTCTTGAGTCGAGTCAAAAGCAAAATAGGGCCCATCCTCCATGCCCCATGCTCTTGAGTCGAGTCAAAAGCAAAATAGGGCCCATCCTCCATGCCCCATGCTCTTGAGTCGACTCAAAAGCAAAATAGGGCCCATCCTCCATGCCCCATGCTCTTGAGTCGACTCAAAAGCAAAATAGGGCCCATCCTCCATGCCCCATGCTCTTGAGTCGACTCAAAAGCAAAATAGGGCCCATCCTCCATGCCCCATGCTCTTGAGTCGACTCAAAAGCAAAATAGGGCCCATCCTCCATGCCCCATGCTCCACCCTCCATACCCCACCCTCATGAACCCCTTACAAAATACCCCTCCTCCACGCCCAATTCCCCATACCCCACAGACTCACCGACAGCCCGCGCTGGTCTTTGATGGCTTCGACCCTCGTGGGGACCTCTCTGTCCCCATGCCCCAACTGCCCGTGACTGTCCTATCAAGCCATCCCTTCCATCCTCATGATTCACCATTCACACCATCCGTGCCCCCCCACCCTCCATGCCTTACTGACTCACCGACAGCACACGCTGATCTTTGATGGCTTCAACCCTCGTGGGGGTCTCCTTGTCCCGCACGTCTCCATGCCCCAACTGGCCGTGACTGCCCTGGCCCCAAGTGAAGAGGTCTGATGCTGCAGTGAGGGCTGCTGTGTGGTGGGTGCCGCATGCAATCTGCTCGATCTGCTTAAATAGTGGGGGTCCAGACACAAGGGCTGGAAAGGGCAACGGGGCAAGAGGGGAAAAGGGTGTCAAGAGGATATCTGACGCTGCAGTGAGGGCTGCTGTGTGGTGGGTGCCGCATGCTATCTGCTCGGTTTTTTTAAACAGCGGGGGACGGGACAGAAGGGCTGGGAACAGGAGCGAGGGGAGAGGGGAAGACGGGAAAGGAGGCGCTTATGTGACTGCACGAGCTAGCTGGCACGATCTTTTAGGTGCCTAAGAAATTACTACATGGGTCAGCTGCCCAGAGCTTCTGAGGCCAACGCACACACATGGCCTGCTCATGCGATGCCACATGAGTGTGTGCTGTCTGCTGTCATCACATGCTGCTATCACCTGGAGTGTGGCCATCCGCTTGGGGGTTCCCCAGCTGATGACCTCATGGCGTACACTTGGCCTAATGGTGTGATGCCTTGCCCATACATGCATGCATGCATACCTTCTCCCTCGCACATGCTACCTACTGGGAGTGTGGCCATCTGCTTGCGGGTTCCCCGGCTGTCCATGAGCTGCTGACCCCATGGCGTACACATGGCCTAGTCAGGTGAAGCTTTGCCCATACAAGTACGCATGCTGCCAACACATGCTACCTACCTGGGGTGTGGCCGTCTGCCTGGGGGTTCCCCAGCTGTCCATGAGCTGCTGACCCCATGGCATACACATGGCCTGATGGCGTGAGCGCTACTGTGATGTCCTGCCCGCAAGCCACCTGCCAGGGGGTGCGAGGGTATGGGTAGCAAGGGAAGGGATGGCAAGGTATGGAAGGGGAAGGGATGGCAGGGTATAAAAGGGGAAAGGACAGCAGGGTATCGGGAGCAGGGGCAAGAGATGGCCTCATGGCGTACACATGGCCTGATGGCGTGAGTGCATGCCACCTGCTAAGGGGGTACCAGGGGAATGGGGAGAAGGGTGAGCGATGGGCGGCTGAGGGAGGGATGGCATCACGGCACTGGGAGGGATGGCTGGGGAATCATACCTGAGAGATGTCAACTTGGCTGAGAGCGTCTACTGCCTTGGGCAGCAGCTGCTGCTGCTTGTCGCCATGACCCAGCTTGTACCTATCTCCATCACCCCATGTGTACAGCCTCCCGCCTGCTACACCCCCTGCTACCACGCCCCCTGCCATGCCGACCCCAGCTAATCCACCTGTTCCCCCTGTTCCCGCCCCCGCTGCTGCTACTGTCCCCACTGCTGCTGCAGAATCGCCTTCAATTGTTCCCGCTGAGGGGATCGTTGCAGTGTCACTTGCTGCGGTGGTGCCGGAGCTTGCAGTGCTGGGAAGGGTGCTTGCAGTGCTAGGACCGTGCACGACTGCTGCAGTGTGCCACACGCCGCAGGCAACGCGGGAGACCTGCATGCCTCGAAGCGACTCCACCTCCTTGGGCGATGAGATAATGCTGTAGTGGAGTGTTTGAGGGGGGCAACAGGAGGTAAGGGGGAAAGGGGTGCTTGCAGTGGCGGGGGCGTGCACGACTGCTGCTGTGTGCCACACGCCACAGGCAACGCGGGACACCCACATGTCTTGAAGGGACTCCACCTCCTTGGGCGATGAGATAATGCTGCAGTGGAGGTGAGGGAGAATGGTGGGGGGGAGAGGGAGGTAGGTGTTTGTGGGGAGAATGGGGGATAGATGGGTGTGGGGAACGAATGGGGCGGATGCAGCAGGGATAGAGAGGGGGGGAGACAACAGGGTGGTGTTGGGGCGGGATGGGTATAAGAGGGAGGGAGGAGGGAATGGGAGGGGTGGGAGGGGAGGGAGGCAGGCGAGGGGAGGGGGTGGGGTGGAAATGGGGGTGGGGAGACGTCCTTCTTGTGCAAAGCGATTGCAAGGACTGTTAAAGTTTCCTGTGGGGATAATTTGTCCTAAGAAGCGTCACCAAACAAGTGCTTACTCGCAGTTTCCATGCCCAAGGGCTCCAAACGTGCCGTCTCCGAACGTGAACAGCTGGCCTGTAGCTGCTACAGCCGCCACGTGCCACGGCCCACATGCCACCTGCACCAGATACACCCCGTCCAGGGCTCCCCCCACACGCCTGGGCACCCACTGGGGCATGTCCTCGTATCCGCCCTCCCCCAGAAGGCCCCTACCCTTGCGGCCGTCCCCCCAGAGAAACACCTCCCCTGCCCTAGAGAGAGCGAGTGTGACGAAACTGCCACAGGCGACCTGCGGGATGGGGAGAGGAATGGGGGAGTGTTTGCTTCACCTCATGAATAAAAAAAACCCCTGCCCTTGCGGCCGTCCCCCCAGAGAAATTCCACCCCTGCCTGGAGAGAGCGAGTGTGATGAAACTGCCACAGGCGACCTGCGGGATGGGCGGAGGACGGGAGAGGTGGGGGGGAAGACGGGGGAGAGGATGAGGGGAAGTGGGGGGGAAGACGGGGGAGAGGATGAGAAGAGGACCGGGGGAGTATTCACCCCATTCACACGCCTCACCCCATTCACCCACCTCACCTCACTTCATCCATGGAAACCCCATCTAGCCCCTCCACCAGTTTCATGTTCCAAGTCCCTCTCACGCCCCTGACCTGTCCCAGCCCCACCCCCATTCACACCCATCTCACCCCATTCCCTCACTTTCCCCAATTCACTCACCTCATCCATAGGGATACCATCCAAACCCTCCACCAGCTTCGGGTGTTCCAAGTCCCTCTCACGCCCCTGCCCCAGCCGCCCCCCTCCCTCCTCCCCCCAGCAGAACACCTCCCCTCGCCTCGTCACCAGCGCAGCGTGCCCCTCCCCACATGCCACGTGGCTCACATCCAGCACCACCCCAGCATCCAACGGTTTCGGCACCACTGAATCAAATCCAGGGATCGGAATTGCACTGCTCGTCCCACGTTTCCTCAGTCCGCCCCCTCCTAACGCCCCATCTCCCAGCCCTTCTCCCCACATAAACAAATCCCCCAGAGCCTCGCTCCCGTCGTCCCCTGTACTGCTGCTCGTGGCACTGGGTAGATACCCAGACCCGTCGCTCGACCCACTGTAAAAACTTTTCACGGGCAGCCCGGGGAGCAGTTCGGCACGATCGGCTGACCGAGAAGTAGGAATAACTGTGCTGTGACCAGGCGGCGCTGCTGCTGTATACGGAAAGTTGGCACCGGGAGGGCTAGAAGCAGTACCAGCATTGGCAGCAGCACTGATATTTCCTGCAGTGGCAGTGGTGGCTGAGGCGGAGGTGGAGGAGGGGATGGAGGGCGAGATGGTAGTAATGGTGGTGGCGGTGGTGGTGATGGTGGTGGAAGGAGGTTGGGATTGCACGGAAAGACCCCCAATAGATAACGTGTCTGAGAAATCGTCTAAGTCACTGACATCCGTCCCGGCTTCACTGCACGGCTGGTTCGTGCTGCAGCTTCCAGGAAACGTCCGAGAAGAACCAGAGGCTGTAGACCCCCCTGCTCCAATGCTTGTGCCCCCGGGAAAGAGTGAACCCCTCCCGAGAATGCTCTCGTGTAGAGATGATATGTCATGCGCCGACCTTGAGAAATTCATGCCTGTTCCTGCACCTGTACTGCTACCTGCCCCTGCTGCTGCTCCTGCTTCTGCTCCTGTGAGGGTGTCCAAGCCCATGCCCTCGCCTCTGCCTGTGCCTCTGCTCTCAGGGGGGCTTCTATAGTCGGCATGGCTGCCGCTTTCATTGGGTTCCACTGGGGGGGATGACTGAGGAATGGGGGAAGGGGGGAGGGCGGAAGGGACAAATGGGCTCGCGGGCGGTGGATTGAGGAACGAAGGAATTGAAGAGGAGAACGAGAGGGCGAGAGTGCGTAACGGGATGAGGAGAATAAAGAGGGGTTGCGGGACAGGAAAAAGACGATTGAAGGAGAAACAGTGCCCCTGACGGAAGCCTACCTCTACTCTCTGTCGGAAGGGGGACATGTCGGGAGACCACTCCCGAAGCTCATCCAGGGTCATGGACGCCGATCGCCGGTGGGTCAGCCCTAGGCGCTCTGATTTGGGCCGCCGGTTCCTCTCCACCAGAGCACGCAGGCCAGTGTACCACATCTCTGCCTCCTCCGTGTCCTTCCACACCTGCAGGAAAGGGAGGTTTGAAACATGTGAAAACTAGAACCTTACAAGCCGTCGGTTCCTCTCCACCAGAGCACACAGGCCCGTGTACCACATCTCTGCCTCCTCCGTGTCCTTCCATACCTGAGAGGCAGAACGTTCCAGACAAAATGAACATGGACAGAAAGGTAAGGCAAGCGCAGAGGCAAGTATGAGATTCACTGTGCTTGCGTAGTACGTACCACGTCGAGTGGTCGCTCTCCCTCCCCGAAGATGAGGGAGAAGGATTGGTTGTCCTTGTCGCTTCTGGACGACCGAGCGAAGCTGCCCTGGAGCACAAAGAGCCCACAGGGATGGAATCACGGAACCAGCATCCACAGGCAAACGCGTGAGCGCGCGGCAGGTTCGAGGAGCCTAACACGACAAAACCGCGCGTGACGAAGCTATAAGGTCCGTAAAGCTTAATTATAATGTGAAATCCGTACCGTTCGCTGGCCCCAGAGAATCTGACTGACGTTGGTCAGAGGGAACGTTTTCTCACGGTCGCCGGAAATGTATACGAGATCGCACTCGTCCTGCGTTGGCGGGAATGGGGAAGCTATGTCAGGCAAACCCTCGAGAAGCGAGTCTCGGGAAGGTGAAACGAGCTATGGTAAAAGTGAGCGGAGCGGAGGTTACCGTTGTGACCCGAAGGTAGCAGGCTCGCGGTCTGCCAAGCCGGGAGTATTTCAACAACCGACTCCCTTTTTTCATAGCGATAATTGCCTGCGCGTACAGTTTGGGAGATATCCCGTGTAATTGTTAGGCCTTCACTTCTAATAACAGACAAGAAGTGTCGAATAGAAGTCGGAAAGGAACAGCCGTTTTCCCGTCGTTTTTACTGCGACGCTGACCTGTTCAGTCTCCCTGTCTGATACAGGACGCATTGTGGTGTCTGCGAAGCGAGGTGCCCCGTAAACTTTAGCTGACTTCATCACGTCTTGATGAGTGAACCGCTATTAAATAAATAAAGAATTTAATAACTTAAGGACAAACGGACTCAAGTTTTTTCAGCATCTTTCTTGTCTGTTGGAAGGTCTTGAATGTCGGGTCTTATGGAGGGAGTGAAATGCCACATGTATACTTAGTAAAAGAAGCGAATGGTCTTCTTGTCCGGCATGGAACTAAAGATTGCAAACGTAGCGCTCCCTTATTCGCCGCAATATGCTATTGACCCGACCTGAGCAACGAGCGACTCGCCTTGACCTATCCAGGCACAACGCATCAATGGAGGTGATGTACGAGCTAAAAGCTATGCCTGATGATGGAATCTGTCTGAACTTGACGGTGAACAAAGGTGATGGGGGATAATCCCGAAGTGCAATCCCAAGGGCAGTCGTTTGTCCAAGCTGAATCCCAAGGTCGTTATTTTTAGGGCGGGTCCAAGAGTGTACGTATTCGCCGAGAACCCTACCCAACCACTTTTTTCGTTAAATATAAATGTCTGGATCAGCGTCAAACCCTGTTCAACCGCATTCAGACGTACTCTCTGGTCACGCCCGTAGTCAGCCAAATCAGCTCTCTTCTGCCAAATGGAGTCCCCTAGGTCAATTCTTCTGTCCCTTGCCTCCGTGTCTTTCGTAACTTTGCCAGGAAACTTGCCAATCAATGCAGTAACAACAGTTTGGGTGACGCAGAAAAGAAAATAGGAAACAGACAGGTCACGAGCCTGAAACTGGCGGTCATAGCACGGAAGATTCGTGATCCCACAAGGTGAGTGGCTGCGAAATGTTAACGACATGTAAGCAGACCCTCGAGTGGTTGCGATGGCGTACACGCTCCAAGTAACGATGCTTAAGTGCGATTCATTGGTGGCGATTCCACGTGGCTACAACTAACGGTGCCAGTCGCTCGCTGCATTCTAGGGTTGGCGAATGCCTTTCAGAATTGCGACTGCGTGGTGGTAACCGATGTATCCTATTGCTTCCTTACGTTCAGAGTGCCTGGACCTGGACTGGACTGGAACCACACCAGAACCGCCTGGGACACGGCAGATCAGCATGAACCTGATCTGTACCAGGGAAGAACTCCCCAGGCAGAACCCCGTCCCCACAGAGCTTGGGGCAAATCGCACCCAACCCCAAACCATCCTCCGGATGAAGACTCCCATGTACGTTCTCAAGTCAAGATTCAACGGAATCAACTATGAAATTTTCAGACTAGAGGCACATTTGATGCTGTATATCCCACTAGAGGCAAATATTACATAAGAGCGATTCTCCTCTGTAAATATAATTGGTTAATACTTCTGAAAGAACGAATATGCCTCGCAGTAGAGATTCAATCTATGCATTTCCTCAAATCTTAGATCCCTCTCACTTAACCAGATCATTTAAAATTTTAATGATAGAAGGCATCAAATATCACCCACTTCTGATCCAACAGTCGATAATGTTTCTGTTCCAATTATGTTGGTGGTGGCTGGATAAGAATGCTCTAATGTTGGATCTAAGTAATGCTCACCTTCCCATGTAAGAATAGTACCGGTAGCAGCTTGGAACGAAGCTGATTATGACCGACAGCTTTCCATCCCATAATTCTTCACGAGTCACAACCCTTTCTTTCAGCTTCCATCATTGCACCGTTTTCCCCGTAGCGCGCAGCGTTTACACCACTATCAGGAGCAACGGTACTGGCTGGAGGTTGTTATATCTTGTTGGGCGTAACCGCTCGTCGCATACCGCCAGCGATAGCAACGAATCATGGCTCCAGAGGATGACGTCATGGATGAGCATAATGAACGCGAGAGCGTTCCGGCTGAAGCAGAACCCGGCGCGGAAGGCGCGCAAGATCATGTCGCGGATGGCGATCCGTTAGCGACTGAAACGGGAAATTTAGATGCGGACCAATCAGCGGGTGAAGTTAACGCTTCTGGAGAAGGATCTGAAGGGAAAGACGCGAACAATATAACAGATGCCAGTGCCGACAACGATAATGATGCTGGTGGAGTTGATACCAGGGTAGCTGATAACGAAGATGCTAATAACGGTGTCGACGGTGCGGCTGAAGGCGATGAAGTCGATGCTAGGTCAGCGGAAGCGGAAGCCGGAAACGGAGCAGCTAATACCGAAACTGGATCGGATATCGAGGCGGAGAAGCACAGTGAAGCAGATGGCAACCAGATGAACGGGCTTGTACCGGATGGAGAAGAGACTAAGGTGACGCAAGAATATTCAGACAAGGATCCAGATGGTGAAGCGAAGGGTACGGATGCTGAAGCGACGGAAGCGGGTGCTGAAGCAGCGGCCAACGCGGTCAACGGGGGTGAAGGGGTCAACGGGGTCAACGGTGTCAACGGTGTCGAGATGACGAAAAAGGAGAAGGAAGCGGAGAAGAGAAGGCGGCGAAAGAAGCAGAAGAAGAAATCCAAGGCTGTGAACAAGGGAACGTTGAAGGAGGAGGAGGAAGAGGCCGAGGACGAGAAGCCCAAGGCGGTAGGCTCTTTCGGGGTGTCCGTGTAATTTCCATCTAGGGTTCCCGTTTTGGGCTTCCATGTAGGGTTCCCGTTTCGGAATGTCCGTCAAGGATTCATTCAAAGTTCTCATCTAGGGTTTCCATTCAATGTGCTGCAAACACATTCGTTTAACTTCCTTGATATTTCCGTCTGCCTATTCAGGTGCAGGTGGAGTATGTTACAGAAATCGTGCCTTTTCACTTTTCGTCCCTTGGGATCTCCATTTGCCCTTTCAGGTGTTGGCGGGGGTGCAAGTAGAGTATGTTACCGAGAAGCCGGAACTAGAGGGAGAAGGATTTGAGGATTTTCTGAAGATCTTTGAGAAATTCGCCACCGTGGAAGAGCCTAAGGTAAGCAGAACTTGTGCCTAAAAAATCACATTGCGTAAGAGCCTAAAATAGTTAAGAGGCTAAAAGAAGCTGTCAAGCATAACAGTTTCCTGAATTGTTTTCTGAACAGGAGGAGGAGAAGGAGGATGAGGAGAAGGGAGAGAAGAAGAAGAAGGCAGATTCGGATGATGAGGACGATGATGAGGAGGAGGAGGACAAGGAGAAGGGCGTGAGCAACAAGGAGAGGAAGGTGGGATTTTCATGCTCATGCTCATGCTTACCTGATGCTGATGCTGATGCTGATGCTGATGCTGATGCTTGCCCCTATTGGGATTCGTTCAAGTGTCTGTGACTACCAGTCATGATGTTTGTCCTTTTCGTCCCATGCCATTGCGTGCGTTTCTATGCTACATCCTACCCTATGCCATGCGTCTCATACCCGGCACACGCCATCCGATGAAGCTAAACATGAAGCTGGGAGGGCTGAAGCAGGGAAGCGTCCCATGCCATTTCATGCCAAATCATGCAAAGTCATGCCAGCTCATGCCATGTGACGTCATGTCCCACCCATCCCATCACCCCATGCCATCAGATGAAGAACAGAATGAAGGTGGGCGAGCTGAAGCAGATCTGCGCGCGCCCAGAAGTCGTGGAGGTACGCCTTTCGCCTGCCTGATTTTCTTGGCATGATGTTATGATGTGACCATGTCAGTCCGTCATGCTGTCACCATGTCAGTCCGTCATGCTGTCACCATGTCACCAGGTCATGTTGTTGTCACAACGTCATCCACTAGTTGCATTCTCTGCAGGTGTGGAACACCGCAGACTTTTGAGTCGACTCAAAAGTCACTATGTTGTTGTCACAACGTCCTCCACTAGTTGCATTCTCCACAGGTGTGGAACACCACAGCGTCGGATCTTCGGCGCTCGTGATCCCGAGGCATTTAGTGCATGCGTGCTGCCTTCTCCTTCTCCTCGTGTCCCCACCTCCTCCCCCCTTCCCCCCACCTTAACACCCCAGGTCTGGGATCCCCACCTTAAGGCCTATCGCAACACTGTCCTTGTGCCATGTCTCCACCTCTTCC